ACATTCATTTCTTTAATCACTCCTTCAATTTTATATTTATCGATAATTTTCATATAAGAATCATTTTTTCGATAAAAATAATACCCATGGACATATATAGAAACTGCAGGTCGTCCTTTCCATTTTTCAAAAAATAATTCTAATGCTTTTAAAGAAAGTCTAATATCATAAGAAATTCCAATTTCTCTTAGATTGGTTGATGCTTCTTTAACTAACAAATTTAACAAATAATCTCCAAATTCTAATTCTCTCCCTTCTTTATAATATGCATCTTGAAAATATAATGCTCGCAAATTTTGACATTTTTTAAGTAATTTTTCAAATTCAATAAAATGATTCTCCAATAATGGAAAAACAGGAATTGTTAAATATTCAATTAAAAAACAATTTTCACTAATTGTATGTATAAAATTAAGAGAGATATCAATAATATTATCATTCCAGTGAAAATCATTGATCCTTAATTCTTTAAGATATAAACAATTTTTTATTATGCAAGTAACTTGATAAATATCTATATAATCTATCTTTAGAATCTCAAGGTCACGATAAGTTACCATTTCCAATTTTTCATTAAAATCATCATTACTTAAAAATAGAGGTGAATCAATGTCTAATATTTTTAAATTATGAAGTCTTAGGAGTGTATATTGTATAAACGAATAATCATAATTATTGTAATTACTGTCATAATCAAATAGAAGGCATGTTTCAAAATGATTAATAGTATTTGCATGTTTTTCTAACATGTTAAAAATTTCTGTATAAGGATCTTCCAATATTTCCCAATAATAGAAGCCATCATCTACTTTAAAATCATCTATCCATTTAAAATATTTTAAATTTTTTTGTAATTCAATTAATTTAGTAGTTCCATTATTAACTTTTGTGTTTTTATTAATAATTATCATTCTTTGTATTTGTTGACAGATATTTGCTAATTTGTAAAAGTACCTAGGATCGATCAATGTGTCAAATGTTAATTCACAAAGTGATTCGAGATAGTCCTTTATTTCTGGAAGATATAAAATCTCATGGGTATCACATATACTCAAATACTTAATTTCTGGACATTTCTTTATCAAGAAACTATAAATTTCCTCTTGTAAAAGAAATTGATTATATTCTGATGATGTTCCAATGGAAATGATATTATCAATAATTATTGTATCAATACTTTTACAAAATGACAAATAATCAAATACAAGTGATTGGTTTGAAATTAGAATTTCTTTTTTTGTTAAGAATTCTTTAATATCATTAGATAAATAAGAAGTAAGAATGGAATATAAAGAAATTTTTTTATGGTAATTAATATCATAACACCAAGGATTCCTCCATAAAATTGGAATAACGATTTTACACCAAATTCTATTAACCATTAGGCATGAAAAGAGGAATATTGAACTATCATGTAATTCCTCAAATATTAAGAAAAGAATATCTTTATTAAGTTATGACATTTTCTTCAAAAAAAAACATAGAAATAGTAATAGGAGAGAAAAAAAAAGTAAATGATTAAAAATAAACAATGAAGTATACTGTATTTATATGAAACTCCGGTGTACGACCATAATGCTGATCGTCAGAATATATATGGTTAATATAGGATCTCCAGCCACACACAAATAAAATTATTCGGTTGATACTTGAAAAAAATTAGTAAATAAAATGGTAAAATTCTTAAATATCCTGAATTATTCTGAAACATATCTAAGTTTAATTAAAGCTGAGCAAAGAAAAAAAATGTTAGTAATACTATTTTTCAAAAAATAATTTTAGTTTTTTCGTTAAAAAGTAGTTTAAAAGCTTACCATACCTTGAGATTCAATCAATGCTCATTCTTAGCTAGATATAGGCTAACTTATGTCTGTTTCACCTGAACATCATGTAGAGGTTACAACGATAGAAGATAATCATTAATTATCAGGGTTGGCCGAAACTAGTAATACCAAAGCTACAATATAAATTTCTAACATTAAAATGTCTAACATTTTAACACATTATGTAAGATAAGACAGATATATATATATATATTTTCAGGATAAATTCTAAAGAATATATTTCAATTAAGTGACAAATACATCGCGAAGATGCTAATAATGCAAATTGTGTCAAATGATCTCTGTCTGTAAGATCAAGAATATCTCTGAATAAGCACAAATAGAAAAGAAATTACAGCAGTACTGATACATAATAAGAAGATCATCAACTAATATAAACCTAAATTATACTGTGCAAATTTATTTCTGATTTTTTATTAAATTTTATCATTTTTTTGTCGTTAATTTTCCATCCATTTAAATAAATAAAATTATATTACATTCTACAAGTTTATTTCCATTTTCTACTGATTTTTGATAACAATGAAAAGCTTTATCCAAATTCCTTTCTGTTTCTTCACCATTTTCATAACATATTACTAATTAAACATTGCTTTAATATTACCATTTCTGCTGCTTTTTGATATCAATGAAAGGCTTTTTCAAAATTCTTTTCTGTTCCTTCTCCATTTTCATAACATTCACTAACAAAATATTGTGTCTTCCATCACTCCTTTTCATCTCCCATCACTTCTTTTCTCCTTGCATCACCCATCACTTCTTTTCGTCTCCCATCACTCTTCTTCGTCTCCCATCACTTTTTTCTTCCCCGTCACTCCTCTTCATCTTCCCATCACTTCTTTTTGTCTCCCATCACTTCTTTTCATCTTTCATCTCTCTGGCTATGGAATATGTGGTAGGTGTTATTTCGTGAGTGTGTGGCTGCATAATGGTGTAATAAAACATCATTGACGCCATTTCTCTCTTTTTTTTTAGTAAAGCTCAAGCCCAACTCGAGTCAGCTCAAGTCCAGCTCAGCTTGAGCCGGGATTTATATGGCTCAGCTTGGCTCAAAAAGCTCGAACCAATATTTGTTGTGGTTCAGTTCATTGCGGACTCAGCTCTCTTAATTCAAGCCGAGCTTGAGCTATGCTCTGGCTCAGCTCGAGCTAGCTCATGCGGAACTTTAACTACTAGCAAACCATTTATTTTATAATATCTATTAAAAAAAAAAAATTTATTAAAATTGTAAAATTTAACAAATTTTCAATCAATTTTTTATAAAAAAAAGATCTCTCTAATGAAATTCTCTATTAAAAAAAATTTCAAGCCAAAATTCTCGATACACTTATTAAAAAAAAACTATTTTCAATAAAATTTTCTATTAAGATTTCTAAACAAAATTCTTCATCAAAAAATTTTCAACCAGCAATTTTCTAATGAAATTCTCAATCAAAAAAAATATCTCTGATTAAGAAAAATTTCTAACAAAAATCTTCCATCAAAAAACACATTTTCGCTATTAAAAAAAAATTCAAAGATTCTTACCTATTAAAAAAAATTCTCAAAAGAATTTCTATATCAAAAAAAACTTCCCTTCTATTAAAAAAAAAAAATCTTTACCGAAATTCTCTATCAAAAAAAAAATCTCCCTTGTTAAAAAAATTTACACTAACGAAATTATCTATCAAAAAAAATATATATATCTTACCTATTAAAAAAAAATTCTATGATAAAATTTCTATCAAAAAAAAAAAAATTCTCAGTGAATCTATTAAAGAAAAATTCTTTAATGAAATTCTCTATCAAAAAATTCATGTAAAATTTTAAAAAAAAAATTTTTTCAAAACTACGCTAAACTTAAAAACATGTGATCGACAGAATATCAATCCTGTGATAAAATTATTGAGTATAGTTGGATTAAATTAAACACAGTTGGACAAAAACATCAAACACAGATGGATAAAAATATCAAGCACAGATGGACAAAAACATAAAGCATGGACAGATAAAAATGTAGATAAAACCATTAAGCACATACAGATAAAAAACATTAAGCAGTTTAAGCACGTACAGATAAACATCAAGTACATACAGATAAAAGTATCAAGCATGTGATAGATAAACATCAAGTACGGACAGATGAATATCAAGCATGAACAGGTAAAATATCAGGCATGGTGTAACATTTTGTCAATCCATGCTTGATTTTTCACCCACCCAATGCCTGATAGTTTAGTCCAACTCAACTTGCCATAATTTTCTGGTCCAGATGATCGGCAATCAGGAATTCAGCTCTGTTTTTTGGCTAACTACATAATTCACATACAATCAATATGCATTTTAAAATGTTGTGACCCATACACAATTAACTCTCAAGTCAAAATTTTTGATTTCAAATTGGAAGTTTTTGATTTGAATGCTCAGTATCCAAATGTAATAAGATTGTTATATAAATATAGCACACAATATGAAGCTCTTATTGACCAAAAGGAAAAATATTTATTGTTTGGGTAAAAGAAATTAAAGACAATCATCTTTTTCATATTCATCCAATAAACAATGTTCCAAAAAAAAACATATACATTTTTATGGTGCAGCAGTCTAAAGTATTATATTTTCATTAAATTGATAGTAAAAATAATATCATAATTCACAAATCAAAATCAGTAGTAGAATGTTCAACATTTGACCTTACTGATCCTAAAGAACTGATAAATGTCTATTTCTATTAAAGTCTCTAATTTATCATGTTAATGATAACATCTCACTAACGCTGTTGACCAGCTCAGTCTGTTGAGCAGTAATTATGAATAACTTCAGGAAGATGCTTGCTATGAAGTATTTCAATCAAAATCCTTACACACAAAAAGGAGTTCTTAATTGCAGATTAAAATTGTATCTTTATTTAGTAAATCTATCTCATATTGAGACAAATACATGATATATTTATATAAAATACATTTCCTTTAAGTATATAAATTATAAAAGAAATAAAAGAAATAAATATAATAAAATAATTATAAACATCATAAGAAATAAAATATATAAAAAATAAGAAATATAAGAAAAATATACTATAATATGTCGATCATTTTGTGGTGCAGTAAATCTTGTGATTTTTCTAATTTTCACAAATAATATGATCTTAAAATTAGTTTATTTAATATAACTAATCCACCAGATATAAGTACAAGTGATGGAATAAGATCATATGTTACAACACTATTAAAATACAATATCTGAATAATCAATTGTGGTATATCTTCAACAAAGATATACCACAAAGTATGATCTTTATGATAATAGAGCTGAAAATACTTTGAGACCAAATAAATTTGATGTCAAAGTATTTATTGCTAGTATGTCAATGGCTGAAAATATTGTGCATAACCCTGTAATTGAATCTGAATGTTGTCCTGTCTTAAACAGACCTAAATATAGTAAAGAAATATAAATTTTTCTATTTTCTAGTAAAAAATTAAAAAAACTAAAAATTTTTAAAAAAAATATGTATATTACCTGACAACATCCAAGTTTTCTCATTAATTCCTAATAAAGGTTCAATTACCACATGATAAGAAGAATTTGGCTGATTAAATGTACTACTGAAAATTGGAATATGCCCTGTGTAGTTATTACTTTCAACAGTACATAGTTTGGATTCTTCTGAAAATGTTTGTCGTAATAGACTTGGTTTGTATGGGTTATCATTTAGTTGAAATATGGAAATATTTGCAGTAGATAACCTCACTGAAATATTGACAGCTGGCTTTGCTGACTCAATTACAGGATTATCATATTCAGCTCCTATAAATCAAAAAAAAATTTTTATTAAAATAAAAATAAAAGTAAAAAGTAAAAAATAAATTAAAAACTTACCTTGATTATTTAATCTTAATAAAGCCATCAATAAAATTCCTAGTTGTCTCTATTAAAATTTATTTAACCTTATGAAGTTGGACGACTAAAGTAGTAAAAGTATGCAAATAGAAAAAAAAAAATCTGGGAGTTAATATATCTTACAAATTGAAAAATGTAAAAAAAATTTCATGATGTTTTATTTTTGTTATTTTTTTTTTTAAAAAAAAAGAAAAAAAATTTCGTCTAACACGATTATCATAAGACCTACATGATCCCAATTTTAATTTTTTAATACAAAAGAATGCCCTAGTTAGATAAATTAAGTGACTTTTATTGAAAACTAATAGTTGTATTTCGGAAATAAAATAAATAATGTTTCTATCGAAAATTGATAAGTTTTTATTTCACAAATTTTTAAAATTCAAAAATTAAAAAAAAATTAACGTTAAATACTTATTTTTGTGGCCAAACGACAATCATTTTTAAGTTTCTTGTGTAACATTTACATCAATGATATCAAATAATCTTGATACACAAGCTATTGTTCGTTTGTAAGAAGTTCTTCTTGTGTAACATCTACACCAATGATATCAAATAATCTTGATACACAGGCTATTATCGTTTAGTAAGAAATTTCCATATGTGGTTTAATTTGTAATTATTGGCTATAATAAAATGATTTATTAAGATAATTGTTTTGCTTATCTGTTTTATTTGTTCAAATACGTGAGAACAATCTTCCGCAAAATTTTCATGGTGAACATTTATAATAAAAATTGTAAGAAAGGCATAATATATATGATAACAGCTTTTCTTTCCTATTGATTAGCGCATCGTAGTAATAAATTATTTTTCGTTTAATAAATTGATAATTACCGGGGTGATCATTACCGTTGGCCAGAATTATCAATTTTTACCGGCACTATATTTTTTTAATGCTGGTCGATCATCATAATTTCAATTACCGGTGATCATCAACACCCAAAATTCTAATAAATTAGTGTTCGCTCAATTAAAATAATTAATGTTTAATGCTATTGATAATGAGAAATATAAAATATTTCATACGCCATGCATCGGATAGGCACTAATATAGTAATGAAATGAAATCATGAGATACGGGGTACGTAAAATTAATGTAATACCCGACCAGTGTAATAGAGTAACAAAATAAGTAATTTCATGAATTTTCATTTTAATTGTTTCCAAATTTAGAAATATATTTCTTAATATTCAAATGACGAAACATAAATAATAAAATGTGTTTCAAATACAAATATTAAATAAAACAATATACTTATCACACGTTCTACGTATTGTTTATGCTTTGACTACGGCTTATAATCTTATACGAAATTTATAATGTCCCTATAAAAAAAACTCTGACATGTGATCAATTTTCCAAAAAAATTTTTTTAGGGTATGTTTTTTTGTTCTCATCTTATTATACATTACGATGAAACGGATTGTTTATATGATTATAGTAATATGTAGGAGGTTACAGCTAATTTATAGAACATAAAATATAATTACTATACTATGAATGAGGTAGATTTTACCTGAAGTCGAAATGCTTATATTAAAATTATAAACAGTAAAAGCAATTCAATAACAAATTTCTTACAGGACGGGTTATCATTTTATTGTGGAAATAACAGAACAAGTACAGTAAATATTTTTAAGTGAATTAATAATATCATTACTACTAGTAGTAATATATGTATAATATAAACTGGTCATATTTACAATATTTATTGGTATTATTAACCAAACTTTTATTTATGCAATATCCGTCTTATATATTATTAGAAAAAAATCCAAAAAAAAAAAATTCCATAAGATTTTGTTATATTTATAACGATCTATTGAAAAAAAAATCGGAAAATTTTATTTATACGCTTATGTATTATATCTATTATTAGAAAAAAAAAATTTGAAAAAAATTCTGAAAGATCTATAACGATATATTGGCATTATTATAAAAAAAATTAGAAAATTTTATACAATACCTGTCTTATGTATTATACCAATATATATTGTTGTTATTAGAAAAAAAATTTCAAAAAAAAAAAAATTCTGAAAAATTTTGTTAGATTTATTCATTTTATTGACATTATTAAAAAAAAATGGAAATTGTTATTTATACAATACCTGTCTCACGTATTATATCTATTATTAGAAAAAAAAAATCTAAAAAAAAAATTCCAAAAGATCCATAGCGATCTATTGGCATTATTAGAAAAATTTTATTTATATAATTTTTGTCTTACGTTAATTGAAATATTTATCAATGGACGTTTAGTTCTGATATTATTATAAGTACAATTATATAAATAATAATAAAATACTTATAAATTATTTTTCTTTTTTTAAATAATTCTTTGTAAATATTATTCAATTACGTTATTTTTGTAATATTATCGTAAAAATTTTATCCGTATAATTATTTCCATAATTGAGATTGAATATACAACTTTTATGGAAATAATGTTCAATTTTTTAGAACTCTAAAATTAGTATCTACAAAGAAAATTTTATTAAGGTTCATAATTAAAACGTATTGTTAATTTATTTCCATTGCTAAAGAAAAATAATGTTCGTTACACGATTAAAAGTCCCGTAATGATTTATCATACCAAAATCTATTTTTAAACTTGGATCAACAACAATTGGAATTCTAGAAATGCAACTATTATTCTGTTCGTTTCATATATATATATTTGGTTTTTTTTTAAGTTAAAAATTTCGATTTTCATGATCGTTTCATATATGTGAAACCGATTATCTGCATAACATAAACAATAATTAAAAACGAATATAAATAAAAAAATAAAGATTTTATATTTTGTACTATAACTCTTCTAGAATAAAAAAAAATTTTTTAATTGTTAAAATTATACAAATTAATCAAAAATAACGCGCTGAAACTTTGAAGGGGAAAATTTAAGGTATTACATAATGCTACGCGCCGGGAGAGAAATTAATAAATCAAATTGTTTAACAGATTGTCTTCTGAAAAGATATTTAAATCCCTAAAAATTTCTGACTTTGAAGTAGCAAAGAATTCACTGGTCTTTATTTTGAAAATAATAAAATAAGAATTCAAATTTACTTATTAAAAACTGTTCTCTAATACGATAAAAAAAACTTTTAACGAAAATTATTTTTTACTGAATCTTACAATGGTTCAATCCAAAATCTCCGGTGCTATCAACTTCGTTTTTATCTTCACACTTTTGATTGGACTCGTTGGACGAGTTTCAGCTCATGGTATTCTTCTTAGCCCTACTCCCAGACTTCCATATGGTCATAATGTTACCGATATAATTGCTAAGGTTTCCAACCCAACCAAAGAATTTCCCTGTGGTATTGCCGGTGATAGTCCAGGCCCAGTTACAACATACAAACCTGGTGAGAAAATTTTAATCGCCTATAATAGAACTATTACTCATGGTGGAGACTGTTTAATGCAAATATCTCGATATGGTGATAAATATGATAAAGATTTCAAGACTTTCGAGAACTTAGGCCCATGTGGTATGGAAAAAGGCTTATTCACTGCATTTGTTGAAGTACCGCACGATGAATGTGATAACAAAGATTGTGTAATGAGATTCAGATGGGATGACGACGTTGGTAACAATTACTTGTATTGCGTCAATGTTAGAATAAAGAAATATCCTGATTGCTGGGATTCAAAGAGAAGAAGATCCATCGGTACAACTAGAAGGGCTTTAAAAAATTAATAATTTCACGTTTTTATTATTTATTTTAGGGTAATTTTAACGCTCACCCCAGGTGAAAATCACCTGGTCATATGATTTTTAAAATTTATACATGTAAAGTAAAACTGATTTTTTAATAAATTATAAATTAAAATTTTCCTCTTTACTTTATTAAAGCATTATAAAATTTGATAGCTAAAATGTTGACCAAAATGGTGAAATTATATTCTTAGCAAGAAAAATTCGAAAATTAGTACCAATATGAAAAATAAGGATATCTTTGCAAACATAATACCTACACTCATGAAAATTAAAATGTAAGTGTTTTCCACCTTGCTGAACAATTTACACTTAATAAAGAAAGTCGATTTCATTTGAGTAAAGTAGTGAAATTACGATCTGAATTTAATAAACAAAAAATGAAAAATTCGAAAATTATTGCCATTACGTAAAAGCGAATATCTCTACAAGTATTATACCTACGCTCATGAAATTTAAGATATAAGTAGTTTCGACATCGGTGAACAACTTTTACATAATAAAGGAAGTCGATTTCATTTGACTAAAGTAGTGAAATTACGCTCTGAAATTAACAAACGGAAAACGAAAAATTCAAAAATTATTGTTATTATAAAAAACATGAATATTTCCACAAGTATTATACCTACGATTATGATATTCAAGATATAAGTAGTTTCGACATAGCTGAACAACTTTCACTTAATAAAGAAAGTTGATTTCATTTGACTAAAGTGACGAAATTAAGCTCTGAAGTTAGAAAATATAAAACGAAAGAAATTTAGAAATAAATATACTATGAATTGTATAAAATACCTGTAACTTCACAAGATATAAGTAACAAAACTGAGTCAAAGTGTTTAATATGTGTTAATAACAAAGCTTTTAAAATTTTTTTTAGAAAAGAAATTTTTTTTTTTTTATAATCATAACGTGATAAATAAATAAATAAATAATTGTGAAATGTAACACAAATCAAGGGGGGTGAATTTCACCTAAGGTGATTAAAATTAAAAAATAACCTAGGGTGAATTTTAAATTAATTCTTTATTTTATATATATTTATATATATAAAATGTGCTATAAATTATTTGAAAAATCTAGATTAATATAATACTACAAAAGTAATTTTTTTTTATTTGTCGTTTGTTTAGGTTATTTAAAAGATTTATCTTTCTTATTTTCTTATTTCGGTTTTTATGAATTGATTCGGTGATGAATCATTGCTGGTGGTGATTTTTCACTGTTCATTAAAAAAAAAATTGTTTTTATAAAATCGTTTATTCTTTCTGTAATATTTCATATTTTAATGTATTTTATTAATCTAATAAATTTTAAAACAATTGTTTTATTTCATAAAATCACACTCGCAACATAAATGATTAAAATTAAACTACAAGACAAACTATGATCACGAATTTAACTTTAACGTATATATAGTGTATTTAATATTTATGATAAATTTAATGATGCATTTTTTGAAACTGGGGAACCGGCCAATTAAAAAAATTGAAATTCAAATTTCTTTGATCTCTTAGCCTAAACCATTTATTTGTTGATTTTTTGATATAACCACCATCTGCGCTTGATATTGTAGGCCATAAATCCAGGAGTAATTTTAGCTTAAATATTAAAGTATTTCGGAATTATAGAAATCATCCATATTTTGTGTAACATTAATAGTCCGAAGTAATTTGGATCGGAAATGAAGATCATCCTAATAATAATGATGTAATAAGTTACAATTAATTTATTATTATTTACGTTGATCAAAGGATCAACATGGAAATTATTATATAAACCCCAACTTTTTGATTTAGTATTAGGAGTTCCTTTCAGTTCTTATAAGTCCTTATTAATTCTTTTTAGTTCTTTTTAACTCCTTTTTTCTAAACAATTCTTTTTAATTTTTATAATTATGACATATTCTTATATAATAAAGAATAAACCTTTTATTAAATTATAAATTTTATGACTTTATAAAAGAGATGAAATTCTTGTGGTGACAGAGTGGCAGAAGCTGTCATTGCAAATGGTGCATGCTCTGAGAATCACCTTCTATTGTCCACATACAATAGAAAAAACTTGTTGAATAATACCTAATAAATAGCCTTTTACTATCGGCATATAGTAAATACCCTCTTAGAAGGAATGGAAATTTATTAGAACCAAGGAGAAAACCCAAATAGCGGTCTCAGGAATTATTTAACAATAAAGAGAAAGTAATAAAAGAATTAGTAATAGAGTATATGGATATCATGGAATATGATAAGGAAAAGCCCAATTTAGTACCAAATGTTAAACATCGTATAGTAATAAACAAAGGTCAAACCCCAATTTTACAAAAAGGATATAGAGAAACTTTGGAAAAAAAGAAATTCATAAAGAAAGAAATAGAGAAAATGTTAAAAGTAGGAAGGATTAGACTATTATATAGTCCTTGGGCATCCCCAGTAACATTAGCAAATAAGAAAAGTGGTACTTATAGATTTTGTATTGATTACAGAGCACTTAACAAAGTTACTAAAACAGACGCATATCCTTTACCAAGAATTTATGAATTACTAGAATGATATGAAACATCAAAATGGTTCACAAGTATGGATCTAGCAGCAGGATTTTATCAAGTAGAAATGGATGAATAAGATAAAGAGAAAACAGCCTTTGTATGTTCATTAGGATTATTTGAATTTAATGTTAGTATGCCATTTGGACTTAAAAATGCCCAAAGGTTAATGAATAATGTTTTATACGATTTTATTGGAGATTTTGTTGAAGTTTACATTGATGACATAATGATACACTCTAAAAATTTTGAAGATCATATTATACATGTAACTAAAGTATTACAGGAACATAATTTAGTCGTAAAATTAAAAAAGAGCAGATTTTGTAAACAACAAATTGAATTTTTAGGTCATGAGATTGGTAAAGATGGAATAAAACCCAATTCTAAGAAAGTAGAAATAATTAGTAAAATAAAAGAACCCCAAACTTTGACAGAGTTACGATCATTTTTAGGATTATATTTATATTAAAGGAGATTTATTAAAGATTTCTCCAAGAAGCCAAACTGTTATATAAATTATTAGAAAAAGATGTTCCATATGAATGGACAGATGAACAACAAAATACCTTTGAATGGTTAAAACAATGTCTAACTGAAAGCCCAAGTTTGTCACACCCAAACTCTAAGAAGAAGTTTATTTTGATAACAGATGCATCAGCAGATGAATTAGAAGCTATATTAGTTCAGAAAAATGATAAAAATAAGGAATTGTAATAGCATATGCCAGTAGAAGTACCAATAAAACTGAGAGAAATTATCCTATTACAGATTTGAAATGTTTGGCAATAATATATGGAGTTGAATATTTCCATAAATTCTTAATAAATAAAAGATTTAAGATAATCACTAATCATGCAGCTCTTAAAAGTTTAGTAAATGAGAAAATTCCAAAAGGAAGGTGTGCAAGATGGATAATGAAATTGCAACAATATGATTTCTTTGTAGAACATAGACCAGGAAAGAAAAATGGTAATGCTGATGCACTTTCAAGATTGAAATATAAACAATAATTAAAATTAATTAATTTAGTGCAATAAACAAATTAAGAAAGCCAAGTCTTATTGAACATTTAAGGAAATAAATTAGTAATGAAACATTTTTTTGGCATAAAAGAATCTTAGAATTTCTAGACAGAAAATTAGAATTTAAATTTGAACAATTAAAACCCAAATCTTAATATTATTCTGATAATGTAAACAAATTATCACAAGGAGAATTTGTTTATTTAAAAATATAAACAATAATTTAAAAGATACACCAAGATCATCTAAAGATGCACCAGTAAAATTGATGATGATCATTAAACTGCGGGGAAAGAATTTATTATAAAAAGGATAGCATTTAGAACAAAAGATATCATACAAATCACAAGTTTAATAATAAACAACAACCTTTTTCAGAAATAAAAAAACCCAAAACTTGAAACCCAAATTTAAAAATGAATTTAACTATTGAATAACTCAAAGAAGTTCTTAATATGCCCAATCTTCAAAATTTTAGAATTAAAACTGACTTAGGTCAAAGATGTAAAAGATGTCCAGGAAGATGTCAACAGAATCATTATAGTTTAGATAGAGAGTATAGAGAACTAAAAGTTGCAATAAGCAACATTCAAAAGCACAAGGAACCTATTGAATGTTTTAAACATTCAACTGTAATTTACCACCCTCCACATAATTGTAATAAAATCAAATGTACAAGATGCGGATCTTGGGGATACAGTAAAGAAGTATGTAATGATAAATTATATTATTGGAATAGGTTATACCTATATAAGTGTGATGGAAAAAAGTGTAAAAGACAAAGAACTGAAGCCTAATACAAAGGAGGCAATCATTGTTGCACTTGCCAGAAACCAGTAGTCTTTTATGAAACATATAGCAACTACAATATTGGAAAGTTAAGATGTGACAAATGCTACGAAAATAGCATTAATAATAAAAGACCACCAATCCCAGATACTGATGAAGGTAATAAAAAGCCCAAATTTGAAATACCAGAACCAGAAGACCCAATGGTAGAAATGGATTTAGATCCACCCAAACCAAATAAAGGAAAAGGAAAACAAAAATACACTGAAATCAAATATACAAATTGTAATAAAGTGGAAAGCCCTATTAATTGCATCAATGAATTAGGTATTAACTACAAATGTGACGAAAAAAGAGAAAGATTAGAAAGGACAGGAAGTACCTTCTATATAAAGACTTGTACAGTTTGTCAATTACAAACTGATGATTTTGAGTCAAGATCATCAGAAGCTATAGTATGTGGAGAAGAATGTAATGGAGTGTTAACTATTATAAACATGGTTAACAAAGATAAGTCAGGAAAACCCCAACCCAATTAATACAGGAAAAATTACAAATCTGGATGGACAAATTTGGATATGATCTGGAAGACGAAGATGATAAAAGTGAAGAGCAAGACAAAATTAATAAAATGTCAGAAAGAATCCAAAAATACCTTAATAAGGAGTTTAAAGGAAGGATATTTTCTGAATATCCAAAAGAAAAAATCAAAAAGGCTTTAGATAGTATAATACCCCAGAAATAACAGATATGATATCTGCTGAACATATAAAAAATTAACCCAAGTCATACCTATCAGAACTATTAATGATACTGTTGAATGGACTGAGGAAATTCAACAACCATGGGAATTGAATGGAGAATTCACATGGCCAGAGGAAGAATTATTAGAAAACCCTATCCCTATAATGGATATAATTCAGGAAATAAACCCACTGATAATAGAATAATTGAACTCCAAAACCATATTGCTAAATTAGAGAATGAAATTGCTATAAAAGATCAATTAAATGAAGGATTGAGAAAACAATTGGATGAAACTCAATATCAACTTAATGAAACAGCGAGAATGTGCAATGAAAATGCGAATGCTCAGGAATGGATGAAATATTTTAAGAATAAATATGATAGGAGAAATAAATGGGTAAATGAGTTAAAGAAGAAAGGTAATATCTTGTTAACAAAATATGTTATCAAAAATAATGATTTGAAAGACAGGATAAAAGAATTAGAACAAGAAATAAATTTTGGTAACAAATTGTTTAATCAAATGGTAAATCTCAATATGACAATTAGTTCAGATATAAACACAGATCCTTCTATAGAAAATATGGAACTCTTAAAATATTAATTAAATTTTTTTATAAATAAAGCCTAATTTTATAAAACCAAAACTCAAAATTTTCAAAATAAAACAAAAATATGTAAAAATAAAAGATAAATGGCATTTTATTTCGTATACTAAAAACCCAAATTTTGAATTTAAATATTTTACAGATAATAAAGCAATGTTACTTAAAATAGGAGAAGAGACCAAAGAAATTTTGTTAAAACAAAACAATAGAAAGACCTAACCCATTTTAATAATAATCGATGGAGTAGATGGCGTAGGAAAAACTACTATAATAGAAAATATAATTAAGAAAATTGAAGCCCAAAATCTTAAAATCATTTTAACACTTTCAAAAGAAGAAGAGGCGATAATAAATTATTTGAGATCCCAACTATTAAATATGAATGGATGTTTCGTAAAGAAGTAGTTGAACAAATTAATAAAAGACTGGTAACATATACCAATGAAGATATAATTATAGTAGATAAATCCCATATTATGAATATTTTTATCAAAGAACAAGTAGTTTTGATAAAGGAACAATAAGACCTTTTGGAAATTTTAAAATGAAACAAAAAATTTTCAAACACAAAGATATAATCGATAATACAATAGTTGTATTTTTAGAAAATGACGCATATTGGAAAAATTATATAGGAAGAGAAACTAGAAAGAGTAATAAAGAACATAAAGAATCATATAATAATACACTGAAGGAAAATGAATATATGGAAATGGTTAAGATGTTCAAACAAAATCAAACAATATATGACAACAAAAAGAAATATAAAGCAGTAAAAATCAAAAACAATAACAAAAGTTAAAACTCCAAAGAGAAAGGGAGGAGAGTTATAAAAGCTTTTTCAAAGCGAGATTTTCTAAAAAAAAAAAAAAAAAAAAATTTTAATTAAATAATTTTCAGAAACTTAATATTAAAATAAATCAAAGATAAACAATATACCTTTAAGGTTAAGAAGTAACCGACCAAGATTTTGGTTAAAAGAACAAAGATCTGAGATGGTATCCTTGAATTTATCTCACTCTTGTTCCAGAGCTTCAACTTTTTCTTCCATCTCTTCAACCTGATCTTGTAACCTCCAACCAGTGTTTAAATATTGAAGGTTCTTTTTGAAAAGAGACTCATTTCACTCTTTCATTTTGTCCAATTTTCATTGAAGAGATTCTGCTTGTTCTGTTAAAAGGAAAAGGAAAAAGAGAAGAAGAAATTCATAATACCATCAATTAGTTAAAAACTAAGTGAATAAAGTTGATAGTACAAAAGAGTTCTACAGGGGAGTGCATTCAAGACTAGTCCTAGAGGTATAAAAGTGCAGACTTTCTATATGGGTATATATGTTATGGTAGATGCCTTATAATTTCATCAATTCTATTAAGTTTTTTAATTTGATAATTCAAATTTTCTGGTGAAATGAACTCTATCTTAAAAGTTTAATAATGTAAAAATTTGTCTCCTAAATAATCCATTTTCAGTATATCAGCTAGAAAGATTGGTAAAGACCATTATTGTTTTCAATAATTCTATATTTATTTTTAATTTCTTTGCAGTTATAAATCTATTACCAATGTTTTATATAATTGTAAATTGACTGTATATCATAAGTTTTTTTGTTTTTATGGATAATGAATTGTTATTATTATTATTGTTTCTAACTGATTTAATATTGATTTGTTGGAGCATTGTACTCAGAAAATAAAAGTCATGATATCTAAATTGAAGCTAAATATATTAATCTTCTGACCATAATCATATAATTGTCTTGGGAATAAATTGTATTTCTCCCTTAATTTCTATATGATAAACAATTAGAATAAATAAAGAAATTGTTTAAAGAATGAAGAATTTATGAAATAAAGTAAGATATTGAATTTAAAGTAAAATAATAATAATCTGTTCAACTTCAGATCTATGAATACAACTTAATAATATATGAATGAATTTAGAATATGGTGATAACAATAAATCTGAAGGTTTTGATGAAAAAGTGGATGCATTAAATGACAAAATTGATGAAACAGATAAGCATATACAAGTGGTGTTGATATTATGCACCAACGTCTTGATACTAATATACAAGGATATAAATCTTCAGTTGATGAAACATTGAATTTAAAGATGGCCATCCTTTTTAAAGAAATGGTTTCATATAGTTTCTCTACACCCTTTACCCAATGAAAACTACCAGCTGTTTTTTGTTCTTGAAGAAGTTCAAGTGCCTTAGTTGTTGTTTTTATTTTATTATAAATATTATTATAATCTTCTGACAGAGGTTCAGAATATTGAATATTTCAGAGTTTAAACTTAAAATAGTCTGATTTATACAGGTAAGCAGAATCTTTATCTATCTCTGTTAAATTCTTCCATTTTAATTGACTTCATTATATTCTTTGTTTATTTCTTCTTTGGGTTTGTATATTTTTCTCCATTCATAATTTGTCTAAATTGATATTTCTTAGTCTTGTCCATTCTTTGAAATGATTATATAAGAATGGTGGTTCATGATTAATTTTTAAATGTTCAAAATACTGATAAATTAAGTGTTTACATATATTAAACTGACTAATTAAATAATAAGAGCATCCACATACCAGTGCCTGTTACAAGAGACCAGTAATTAAAAATAAAACTTTATTCTCTGCATTTGTGATTCTGTTTTTGATGAATTCCTTTCCACATTTTATATTCATTATTAATTTGAAATGTTGATAACTTTTTCCATTCTAATTTAAATTGCTTAAGCCATTCTGGTTTTTCTCTTCCAAATTGAATTTGATTCAATTTTCATTGTTGATGTGGAATCACTTTTGTTAACAATGCATATACAATAAGATCTAAATATGGTTGGAAAAACTTGTAAAAAAAATCTCGCTTTACCACCTTCTATTGCCCTTCAACAAAACATTGTAATTTTAAAAATAGAAATTTTTTCTTCACATACAGTTCTTATCCATAAAGGTCATCTTTTATCACAATACCATACCATTCGCCCCACAAGTAGCTCCAAAAAGTAACCAAATAATTTTTTTACAAAATTCATACATTTCTTAAACAACTGTTTCATGAATTTCTTTACTTGTAAGGTATAAACCATTGCCTGTTGATATTAATGTATGCCAATAAAGGTATTATTCCATTATTAACCAAATTGTTTTATAATATTCTTTAGGGCAAAATTTATTAGATAATGTGATTCCATTAAGAAAGAAACATGAGCCAAGTTCAGATAAAGGATTAAATGTAGCATTTCTAGGCATCTTGTTGCTTGATAATTATGCTAGAATAGCTCTCTTAATGTGCCATGTTTTTCACTAATTCTATATATGTTTTTAATTTCTTTGCAGTTATGAATCTATTACCAATGTTTTTATATGATTGTCAGTTATGTTAAATGACTGTGTATCATAAATTTTTTGTTTCTAATGACAATGAATTGTTATTTAATATTGATTTGTTGGAGTATTGCACTCAGAGAATAAAAGTCATAATATCTAAATTGAAGCTAGATATATTAATCTTCTGATGATAATCATATGGAATAAAATTGCCTTAATTTCTATATTATAAACAATTGAATAAATTGATTAAAGAATAAAGAATTTATGAAATAAAGTAAAATAATGAATTTAAAGTAAAATATTAAATAATCTGTTCAACTTCAGATCTAGGAATTCTACAAACCAATTTAAAATAATAATAAATCTGAATGCTTTGATGAAAAGTGAATGCATTAAATAACAAAAATGTTGAAACAGATAAGCATATACAAGTGGTGTTGATATTATGCACCAATATCTTGATACTACTAATGTACAAGAATATAAATAAAGAAATGGTTTCATATAGTTTCTCTACACTCTTTATCCAATGAAAACTACCAGCTGTTTTTTATTCTTAAAGAAGTTCAAGTGCCTTAATTGCTGTTTCTATTAATTTATCATAAATATTATTATAATCTGACAGAAGTTCAGAATCTTGAATATTTTAGAGTTTAAACTTAAAATAGTCTGATTTATATGCAGCTCCAATTTCACAATACAGTCCCCCATGGCTTTTTGTTCAGTTATTAAAGTATTAAGTTTTGAAATTATAGTAGAATTTTGAGATATCATTTTTTCAGACATTCTTTTATTGACTTTGTAAATAGTAAAATTTCTGATAAATTAAGTGTTTGTATACATTAAACTGACTAATTAAATAATAAGAGCATTTACATACCAGTGCCTGTTATAAAAGACCAGTAATTAAAAATAAAACTTTATTCTCTGCATTTGTAATTCTGTTTTTGATGAATTTTTTTCCAAATTTTATATTCATTATTATTTGATGTGTTGATAACTTTTTCCATTCTGATTTAAATTGCTTAAGCCATTCTAGTTTTTCTCTTCCAGATTGAATTTGATTCAATTTTCATTGTTGATGTGGAATTACTTTTGTTAACAATACATATACAACAAAGTTTAAACATGATTGGAAAAACTTGACCACCTTCCAATACCCTTTAACAAACATTGTGATTTTAAGGATAGAAATTTTTTCTTCACATATAGATCTTACCCATAAAGGCCATCTTTTATCACAATACCATTTGCCCCACAAGTATCTCCAAAGGGTAACCAAAGAATTTTTTAAAAAATTCACCCATTTCTTAAACAGCTGTTTCATGAATTTCTTTACTTGTAAGGTATAAACATTTCTTAAACAGCTGTTTCATGAATTTCTTACTTGTAAGGTATAAACCATTGCCTGTTTTCCATCATTAACCAAATTGTTTCATGATATTCTTTAGGGCAAAATTTATTAGATTCCATTAAAAGAGAAACATAAGCCAAGTTCAGATAAAGGATTAAATATAGCATTTCTAGGCATCTTGCTTGATAATAGTGCTAAAATAGCTCTCTAAAGTGACACTTACATAATGGATTTTGAAATCCTCCAGGTAAATCTGGCTGCATTTAACTGTGCAAAATCTTTATCAGAAAGGAGAAATTCTAGTTGTATTCCTATATCACATAACTTTGTAAGAAATTTTTGAAGATTAACTTATTTGTTTTATAGTTTTCCCTATATCCGTATTTAGCCAGTTGTGTAGTTCATATACCTTCTCCATATCGAATAAGTATGCAAGTGGAAACTCTGTTCCATTCATTTCAAGTGTATAGTTCAAGGCCAAAGTTTTCTAAAATAAATTAATTTATTTATAATACACAATTTATAAAAATTAACAGGTTTGCTATATCAATACTACATTCATGAACTTTTTGGTTGAGTTTTTTATAAAGTCCTGTTGTAAAGATTACAGCATGAACAGTTATAGTTTCTTCTAATCTAGTATTATAATTCTCTTGATTAAGCCATTCTATTGTTGATTTAAAAGCATTTTCATGATGTTTATATTTATTTTCTTCTAACTTTGACCACCAAAACTGTATCTGCTTTTGGTGAATAGATAAATCTAAGCCTATGCTAACAAGTTGTGCATAGATTTCTCTGAGAAGTAAATCTATATGCTCTTTAATGTAGTTTTTAATATCTTGAAAAACTTCTACATTAGCTGGCCTTAGATGTAAAAAATTAAAATTATGCTTTACAAATATGCATTAGATTGTCAACAGAAACTTTGATAGTACTCTATTACATTTAAACCTTTCCATTGCTTTTACATACCAATGTTTTAAAACATCTTGGATGTTTTTTAGATTTGGCAGCTAGATCATGCCTTTGTGAACAAAAATACCAGTAAGTTATTGCACTTTTCCTTGAATAAGATTGGGGTAACTATGGGTTTAAAGTTAGAATATTTACTAACATAATTTTATATTTATAAAACATACATCCATGAAAACTCATCCGCCTCTTCAATAATCTCAATCAATCAAAAGTCTGCCACTTTCTTTGCTGAACTGTTTAAAGTAGAAATATTTACTTTACATTCAAAATGAAATGGTGGTATATTTTCTTCATTTTCTGCTTGTGTTGTATATATATTTAGGAGCTGTGCAATATAATCAAAAAAGTCTGTAACCTCAACTACTTCCAAGGAATTTGTATCTTTTTCAGTTTCTGAGAAATCTATTTCATCATGTGATCTTTTTTATGTATTTTTATTTTTTTTTTCATTGTGTATTCTTGATATGACAATTATTGCAAGTACGATATTGTTTTGTAGTATTTTTAGCCTCAAAATCTATAAATTCATGTAATAGTTTTATTTGTCCACAGGCAGTACAAACTTTTGTAATGTCCATATTTAAAATGCACTATAAAAAGTTATCTTTTTTATTATATTATCATTAGATTTTTACAAAATTATGTAAAAATTATTACTTTACATGTTTTATGTATAATCAAATTTAATCAAATCAGATTTTGATTCATTCACCACAAGATCAGTCATGTGGTAGTGAATTTTTTATGGTGATGCTGGGGAAGAGCAGGACTTATAAGCTGGTTCTGGTAGAATAATAAAATATTTGTTTAAATAGCTAATTTCCTCAATTGGCTAGGATTTTATAAAATTATTTATTTTATCAGGTTTATTGTTCCAAATTGATTTCATGATTTATTAATTTTAACCCTTTTGATTGTTGTAGTTTATTCTCATAATCAATTGAAAAGAATATGTTTTATTAAAAACATCTAGATATTTACTTTTGTATATATAATTGGTTACTCGATTATATGAGTTCTACAACTATAGTAATTATTAAATCATTCATAATAAGTTAGAAGAGTTTAGCTCTGCTAAATTTGTGAGATAATTTTGTTGTACTAAAGTGAACATTTAAAATTTTGAATCTAATGTACATAAAAAAAAAATCAGGAGAATTAGTTGATTTATACCAAAATACTAAATTTTGGGGCTTATTGGTTTTGGCTGCTGAAAAGTTACATTGTCATGATGACTTTTAACAAAGCCACATATATACACATTAGTTTAGGGCTAAGTTAGGAGTGTGCATAGCCACCTGATCTTTAACTTTTATCAATGACTTGGCAATTTGTAATTTGTTTAATTTACAATTATGATTATATACTTATTAATATTTGCTATGCTTTTTAAGAAGCCACATAAACATATCAGATCACATAATGATTTGTTTAAATTTCTATTCAGAATGTTGTGCTACTACATAGCCATGATATACAAATTTATTTACAATATGTGATGTTACAATTGTCACATGCTTATCTAAAGTGAAAAATTTTTTAATATACAAGTGTTTATTCTTTCCAAACTGAAGAATTAACCCTAAATAGGGAATGTTTTGTAAAAAAATTGAACTCCGCCGTTGCCTGGCTATTCCAATAAAATGATTATTGGAGAGAGCGGTATAATTGTTGTATACTTAATGTGAATGAAACGAAGTGTATTTTCTATTAACAGAAGAATAACCACCAGTTTCAGCATGAAATTCTTACCAACAAAACGTTGTTTCCTGTCAATTGTTGTATTTCAAATATATTTCCGTTTGCTCGTAAATTAATTGATAAATTAAAAATAAAAATATTGCTTTTTTATTAATTAAAAGTAATTTATATTAATCATTAAAATTTTTATAAATTTTATTTTTACTTATTCCAATGAAATAACAATAGTGTTGGAAGTCTTTATTTTGATTTTGACACACATATTTCTTATAAAGATTATCATTTTATTATAAAAATAACAAAGCAGTATAGTAATTATTTTAAGTGAATTGATAAGTTGTTGAAAAAATAATCACATTAATATATAATACATATAGTATAATAAAGAAAACTTACTTATATTCGTAAATTTGGTTAAAAACATTGTCATTTGAGTTAATAATCATGTAATTTTATTGGCTATAAATATTCGATATTTAGGAGCATAATGAATAATGTTGCTATTTTTTTTAGTGGAACTAGTATTTCTTTTGAAATTTCATTTTATGTTCAATGTGGTGGATTTATTTTTTAAATAATGCCAATAGATCATTATAAATATAACCAAATCTTTCGGAAATTTTTTTTTAAATTTTTTTTTCTAATCATAACAATAGATCGGTATACATAAGACAGATGTTGTATAAATAAAATTTTCCGATTTTTTTTTAATAATGCCAATAGATCGTTATAGTAGATAATAACAAAATCTTTCAGAAATTTTTTTAAAATTTTTTTTCTAATAATAATAAAAAAAAATGTACATTAGTATTATCATAGGGACGAAGTCCCCAATAATAAACGCATATTTCTAGTTTTCGTAGAAATTCACAGATGTATTTGTTTATTCAATAAAATTATTCCTTGTATGATAACCTTCCTTTTATTTTGTGTTATTCAACTGAACATTATACTTCTTTAACGCTTTTCTAGACAATATAGAAAATTGATTTGTGTTACAATGACTAAAAGATAAAAACAAATAAAGTAAACAAAATAATATGAAAAAATACTAATATTTATTAAAAACCAAGATCTATGCAAATGATGATAATGGTTTCCATCAGTTCACTATACACATTCATATTAAACATGTTCTTTGTAATGTTTAACTTCACCATAAGAAAAATATTATACTATTAATTTTAAATATTATCAGTATTTAAATTTATTTTTAAATATTTTATTGATTATTTTGCAATTTGTTATCAAAGGTTTTTACAGTTTAAAAATTACAAAAGACTGTGGTCTTTTTCAATGTAAAAGTTCTGATGCGATCTCCCATCCCCCATACGTTCTCTCATACGTTTTTCCCGACGGTTTAAACAACAACAACTATTTTTTTAACTTCTTTTTCATTGTTATTATTAATGCTGAAACTCTTTGAATATAGGATGATAGAATTGTGTTGCATAATTTGTTTCAGTTCCATGTTGTGAATTAAATAGCTTGATTCACCAAATCTATCTTTGACTATGGGCATTTGAATTTTAAATAACAAAGGAGAAAATTATAAAAAAAAAAATAAATTAAGAAAACCTAGAATATCCTTATCACACATACATATCTCCAAGTTTGTTAAATTTTAGCAAATCTTGCCAAGTTTGATTAATGTTTTTGAGGTTATACCTCTAGAGCAGTGTTGGGCAATTGGACAATTGGACGTTTTGGACATTTGTCCAAAACCTGTCCAAAACTTGTCCAAAACCAAAACCTTTTTTTCATTGGACAGGTTTTGGACAGATCACATGACAAAAAATTTAATTTTGGCCAGAATTATGACTAATTTTGGCTAATTTTAATTTTAGTTCAATTATTAATTTACTTCAAAAATCTTTAAATGTTAATTTTTAATATTATTTTGATTTTACATTAATTTTTATTATTTAATTTATATTAAATATTTACTTTTTTAACATTTTAACATTATATTTTTATTTTATTTTTAGTTTCAGTTGTTTTCAGTTGATAAATATTAGGACTCTTGAGCAGTTTTAAACTGTCCAAAACTATGTCCAAAACTATGTCCAAAACTGGTTTTGGACAGTCCAAAATTGTCCAATTAAAAAAACCAATTGGACAAGTCCAAAACCCAACACTGCTCTAGAGTATATTTCAAGGGAACATAAGTAAAAAAAATTTTTTTGCTTTTGGATATCGATGTAATTTCTTCTTGGTATACCAACAGAAATACTTTGCATTATTATATCTATTAAAAATTAATTTGTAAATTTCATATTCTAATATTCTTTTTTTGTATTTAGACCCGATTTCGTCGATTTTGTCATTTATTGATATTTCTACCATATCTTTAATCCATACTGTCAAGAGAAAAAATTCATGTATTCTCGAACATTGGTCCTGTTGGAAATTTATTTAAAGGTAATAAAATATTCTTCCAGATTATTCGGTAAGAAGTGGGTGATAACATTATAGAATTTCACGTGATTCTCGTTGGTAATAGCGAGAATATTCGTAAACACCTGAAAATATATCCATAGAAAAGGTACGGATACTTGACACCAGGTTTTATTTACTAAACTACATGAATGCAAAGAATTGACTGAGATCATCATGTAATTCAGTAAAATTAAGAAGAGACAATCTCTTATGAGTGATGCCATATTGTTAAAAGTGATAAATGCGATTATGAGAATTATAAATTATTAAAAAGCGCCTCTCTAGCGAAAAGGAAATTTTGAAATTGAAGAGAAAAGGAAAAAATTACAGCTGAAAGATATGAATGCATATTTATATAAAAATTTGTCAAGACTAATCGTAAATTAGAAATTACTATATATGTTTAGTTTAGTTAATAATGTTTGATGAAATACTAGGGGCTTACATGCTTTTCATGCGAGCATGTTCAATTCTTAAAAAAAAAGATAAAATTTTTTTGATTGTTTGAATCAATAAAACAATCATCAGAAGATAAATATTTAATGGTCTTGATTTTCAAATTAGAGAAATCTGCTGTGTCCCAATGATGACACTTTTTCTTCCATTTAAGATAATTATTGAAAGTGCAGCGTTTTTTGTATGACATTAACTTAATAAATCATGAACTTCTATTGGAAACCAATAAATTTTATTTTAGAAATAAAAATAAATATTTCTTCATTGAAATTGATAAGTTTATTTCAGAGATAAAATAAAAGATGTTTCAAAATTCAAAATTCAAAAATTAAAAATTCAAAATTAACGTTAATATTTATTTTTGTGGCTAAAATGACAATCATTTTAAAGTTTTCTTGTGTAACATCTACATCAATTAATAATCTTGATACACAAGCAGACAAGCTATTATTGTTTGGTAAGAAATTTCTTCTTGTGTAACATCTACATCAATGATATCAAATAATCTTGATACACACTCGTTGAGATTTCCATATGTGGTTTAATTTGTAATTAAAAGATTTATTAAGATAATTGATTTGCTTATCTGTTTTATTTGTTCAAATATGTGAGAACAATTCGGACTTATCTTCCGCAAAATTTTTATTATGAGAAGGCATAGTATATATGATAACGGCTTTTCTTTCCTCGCATCGTAATAATAAATTATTTTTCGTTTAATAAATTAGTGTTCGCTCAATTAAGAGATTTGTGTTACCTTAATAAATAAAGTTTTAAAAATAATTAATGTTTAATGTTATTGATAATGTGAAATATAAAATATTTTATACGCCATGCACCACTTTGCAGAAACCCGTGATTTGTTACCATGCAGTTAAGAAATCGTCATCAAATCACAACGATCTATTATCCAACATGTGACGACATAGTATCAAACGATCTCATGAAATTGTCGATATCAATAGAAGTTGTAAAATGCTACTAAATAGGTGTGAATATGGTAAATAGGTGGAATAACACCGAGAATTAGTAGTGAAAATTAATCTAAGATATTTCTTAGATGTATTAAATATTATTTGGTGATGAATCTGCCAATATACTTTATTCATATTTTTATATAAATTTTATTCTGTATGATAATTTTTTAACACGTGGTATTATAAAATAACTATAGTTTGATCTAAACTATTTTTTAACTTTTTTTTTTCAACAAAAATCCTCCCTTTCGCTCTTTACCTTTCATTCCCCATTTCTTTCCTTTATTTTTCTCTTCGTTCCTTCTCCCCTTCGTTGTTTTATATCTTTTTTTTTTAAAAAAAATTTTTTTTTCTGTTAAAAAAACTCTGTTTTATAATTTGCTTAAAAAAATTATTTTTTTTTACGTTTTTTAACTTTATTTTTTTTTTTATAAAAAAATAAATTTCGGGTTTCTTCCCTCATCCTTTCCTTCTTCTCTCGTATTTTATTAAAAAGAGTTGAAGAGAACCCACAAAAAAAATCAAATTCTATAACAGTAACGAAACATTATAACATTTCATTTTTTTTTTTTTTTTAGGCTGCTCCCTCGGTCCCCTATACGATATTTCGTTAGGAAAAAAAATAGGAGAGTTTATTTAGAATATGAAACATTTAATAATATAAATTTGAGACATGTTTATTCATTTGTAATATTTACCCGTTGTAGTTCCGGCTTTACTATTCCAAATGTGACCGCAGCACCACCTGCGCCTTCTTCGGACTCCGTATCACTAAATGGTGCTGCGCGCGTGAAGTTTTGCTCGTTTGGTAACTAAATGTGCATAATACACTTGCGGTACCTACTTAAATATAAGACTATTATTACTATTACTGCATACAATAATAATAAATGCAATTTAAAATCTTACCAGAGATACCGAACGCATACTTCGCGCGTATAAATAACAATGACAATGTTTGTAACCTAAATTATTAAATACATAAATTAGTTACTAGTATATTAAATTTATTAAATTAAATTAAAATTAACTTACATGTCTGGATTAAAGCCATTATCATCTTATAGAACATAATAGTGAGCTGACCGAGATGTCCCTAATAGCCCAGCGTGACTTTGCAAATCTATTATCATATTTGCTCCATTATCAGTTGCTTATCAAGGATTCTAAAATCATTTATTAATGTTTGTTATAAATTGTATATGTTAATATAAATTAAAAAAATTAAAATTACTTACAAAAGTCGAATTCAAACGGATGGGTTATAACAGTATCGATTACTGTACCAAGAAGACAATTTCCCGATCACATCTATCTATTGAGAAAATGGGACTAAGGAATGAATTCATTCCACCGAGTTTCACGTTAATTTTAGACGAACGTTCGCACAATATTGTTTTTTAATCTGCTTTGTGTATTTACTCTGGACACACTGAGTCGCAATGTTGTGCCCCAAATCTCAATATGCCCCAAATTGGCGATAATCATCGATGATTACTATATGTGAAAAGTAATGCTTTGAAAATTCTTAAGGTATTATAAAGATGGGCCGATAATTTAGGCCGATCGTTGATTTGGGGCAATCGTCAATTTGGGGCACAACAGCAACACCCGATGACAATGTCGCTCATAATTATTGTCCCGTGTAGGGATGGCAACGGTCACGGTCATTAACCGATTATGACCGGTCATGACCGTGACCGATATCGGTCGGTCAAGACTTCTGACCGACCGTTTGACCGACAGTTTGACCGACCGGTTTGACCGACCGTTTGACCGATCATTATCACCGCAACATTTTTATTTAAAAAACGTTGCGAAAACGTTTTTTTATTAATAATTTAACGTTTTTCGCAAACGGGTTTTAATTAATTTAACAAAAAACGTTGCGAAAACGTTTTTTATTAATAATTTAACGTTTTTCGCAAACGTTTTTAATTAATTTAACAAAAAAATGTTGCGAAAACGTTTTTTATTAATGATTTAACATTTTTCGCAAACGTTTTTAATTAATTTAACAAAAAAACGTTGCGAAAACGTTTTTATTAATAATTTAATTAAAAAAAAAACGTTTTCGCAACGTTTTTTAATTATTTTAATAAAAAAAAAAAACGGTTTCGCACGTTTTTTTAATTGCCTTAATAAAAACGCTGCGAAAATGTGTTTTATAATGATCGGTCAAACCGGTCGGTCAAACGGTCGGTCAAACGGTCAGCCATAGCGGTCGGTCAGAACGGTCGGTCGGTCAAAGGTTCTTGACCGGTTATGACCGACCGATGACCGACCATGACCGACCGTTGCCATCCCTAGTCCCGTGTTAGGAATGATGCATAGTATTAGTTGTGGTTGGGCCTTGGCACTATTGCCTTAATATTTCCCTGAGAATTTGCATGTAAAATGAGAGGATTTTGATTTGGTATATTCTGTGGTTATAATAATATTAATTAGAAACTTGAATGATTCATAAAAGAATAATTCATTAAAAAATGGATTAACTTATTCACTTACCATCCCTGTATCTTAATACACGGTTGCTAGTTCTCTTACAAACGTAGAAACAACATGATCGGGTAAAACGTCAGAGCTTAAAAAAGCCAAAACACACTAAGAGCTGAAGGTGGCCCCGATTGCAAGTTTCTTATTACGTAAGTTCCAAGTTTCATCTGTAGGGTTGGATACAATTCTCTCTTGATGACGGATGATAATTAATTGTTGAGGTGGAAAGAACTCTAGCATCCACCTGTTCGTGTTAACTTTTATTTTGAGGTTTTGATTGTTTTCTAAAACATTTGATGGTTCCTTTCAGAAAGGCCCCTAAGGAGATCCAAATTCCAATATTTTTGTTAAAATTTGTATAAGTGGACGTCATTTTGATTGAAAGCGGTTGCACTTAATAAGTAGTTATTATTGTAAAGGTATTTATGGAATTATGTGTAATTCTTTTCTACTATTCTGTTGCCATATAGCCTCTCATGATACTGCCACGCCTGATTCTGCCAATGTTTCCATTTCTTGAAGTTTGTATCCATACTATTACTTCTGTAGCTGGTACTTGTTTCACTTTAAATGCTGTTGCACTTGCTGATGAGCTCACTGATGCTTCTACTTCTGCTAAAGCATACTAATCTATGGTAATTATAAACTCTGGTTAAGGATAATCATATTTAATAATTTTAAGAACTGGTAATATCTTGACTCATAGGATGTTTTGATATTATTTAGATTGTTTGATATTTTTGACTGGTTATAGGATTAATTGATATATTTGATAGAGAACAAAAAAGGGGGAAACCATTTGATTTATCACAAATTCTTAACCTATTTATATTTAATTTTTAACACATGAAGCTTATCTGTTTTTAAGTAACACCTGGATGAAATTTCAAGATTTCAGTTTATGCTAACTCCAATTACCATTACAGCCACAAAATAAACATGTTAAGGCTTAAAATATAGGCTTAGTAATATTTACATTGCTAATCCTGAATCTTATCCAATATGTACACAGCATACATTATATATGATAACAGACTATTCTACACTAACTAACTTTAAAGTACCTATTATTACATAGTATTTGGTAAAAATTGGTATAAAGATAGTTGAATTATAGAAAAAGACAAGCAATTAATATGTTATTAATAATCAATGATACCACTTTTATTAGCAGGATATTTTAAATTCTAAATTATACCAAACTTGTAAAGTATATGTATATATATAACTAGTGAGAAAATTTATTCCTATGTTTATTATGAGTGGATTGACAAATTATATTGCATTCTTGATATTTATTTAATAAATAAATTACAATCTAATTACAATGCTTCAATTTTCTTAATAATAAATTTGTAAGTTATTTTCATCATTGACTAAACCTGACCATATTTGAGTAACTAATATACTGTTTTAAAATAAAATAAATTTTATCATAAATTATACCATTGAAAATAGTTAACTAAAGAGACAATAGAATTATACTCCAAAGATCTTATACTAAAATTGAGTTTTAAATTGCAATTTGATCATTATTACACTTTATTCTATAATAACTATCATAATACAATATACAACTGAAGCTTGAATTTGTAATGTTAATCATTTATAGTACAAAAATCTTTCTTACTATAAATTCCAATTATGCATAAATAATTTTTATTTAACATTCTTATTCTTGAAAAGTCAAACTTTATTGGTAAAGTCAATAAAAAAAATTCTGGAAAGATAAATTGATTCAACCCATTATAAAAGAATTGGAAGACACTTGATAATGATAGGAGACGAATATGACTTACACAATTCACCAAATTTAATACATTGCGAAGGTTGTTTTAGAAATATAAGTAAAAAGAAAGGAAAAAAGGAATGTCTGATTTATATAAACAATGACATTAGTAGAAAAATAGAAAAACGAAAAGAAAATGAATTCATAAAACCTTACGAAACACTTAATAACATCTTAGAAAAGAATATCTGGTTGAAAAACCAAACAGAAGAAGAAAGAGTCGATATATTTTATAATAAGAAAATCGAAATTATAGATAATATAATAAAAGCGAACGAGGAATTTATAAATATTATGAAAAATAGTATCTTCGAAAGATCAGATTTAGTAAATGATATCAAGAAATTTTTTATTATAATCGAAGTTTCAAAAAATAAATCGATAGTAGACGATAAAGGTAAACGATCAAGTTTATACAGCATAGCTTGGAAAATCAGGAATTTTAATATAAACAATAGTGACGACGAGATATTTTTTATGGCAAAATACGAAAGTGTGGTGGAAAATGAATTTAAAATAATTTTGAGAAGTTTAATTTTAGGACTAATGATAATAACAGAAAATAGCGAAATAATTTTAGGATTAAATGATAATGTAGTCAAAGTAATTTTAGAATTTATTAATAATTGTAGCAATAGACGTAAAATAGATAGCGATTATTATTTAGAATTACTTTTTATAGAAAATTTTTTGGAAAAAAATGAGATACAATTATTGGAAGTAGATGAGAAAATCTTAGATAATGTCATAGAATTAAAGACAAATTTAAAAGAACTTCTAAAAACCAAATCCATTACAGATATGATAAAAAATGAGTTCGAATTAATAGATGAGGCTTTAGTGGTAAACGAATTCAATTTGATATGGAAAAATAAAATTATAACAGGAGGCCTTAGAACATGGCGGAAAAAAATTACGAACGCTATTTGGAAAAACGAAATATTAAATAGCGAAAAACTTGATGATCTTTTTGTATACAATTATAAGAAGGAATTTGATTGGGTGTCTACTTTAAATTTTATAAGTAATAGAATTAATTTTTCCACAAGGCAATGCGGTGACAAAGACACGAGAGAACGATCATATAGAATCAAGAATATGTTGAGAGAACTTCCAACATATAGTATTTTATACAAAAGAGATACGAATAAAATAAATTCACCAATTTGTATAAGATGTGGGAAAGAAGAAGAGGTTTGGGAACATGTTTGGGTTTGCGAGGCCAACGAATTCTCAATCGATGAAATAATTCAAGAATCACCATATAGATTTGAATTAGAACTAGAAGCACACGGCAAAAATAAAGAGATAGAAATACTTAGAGATCATCTCTGTAATTTTTTAATGATACTCGAAAGTCCTTCATTAATATTACAAGGAAAAAGTAGAAAATGGGAATTGATCAGAGGAATTTTCAACGATAAATTTAATGACCTATCAAAAATAAAAGAAGAAAAGACGACGATTAAAGAACTTTGGAATTTTATATACGACGAATTAAAGAAAAGAATTTGGATACCACGATGCGAAGAAATTAAATTTCTAGAAGAAAAGGAAGGGATAACAAAATTGGATTTGAAATTAAGAAAGCAGAAACTGAAAGATGATCATAACGAAGAATCAGAATTAGAAAAAATTAAAAACAACAAAAATACAAAAACAAAAGAAAATAAAAATAAAAACAAGACAAACAAAATCAAAAATAATCAAATTAAAATAGTAACTTTGGGAAAGTTAACGAACGCAGTAACAGATGGTTTAAATATAGATAAAATTTGGGATACATCAACGAAATTACCATTTTATTAGAATAGAAAATTTTACATAGTTTTATTTCAAGCACTAATTTTTAGTTTTAGTAATTTAGAAATTTTTATTTTTTTATTTTTTCGAAAATTACTTAGTTATAGGGTTTTACAAAATTTATTTTTGTTTAGCTCTAGGTATTTTTATATTTAATTATGTAATTGTTTTCGCAATTCTAAATAATTAATAAAATGCATTACTATTTTAAAAAAAAAAAAAAAAAAAAAAAAAAATTGATTCAACCCCTTCATAGTTCTCAATTATTCAATTGTGCAACATGAAATATGACTGTGCCCAATTTATTCCACATTTATTATAGTTAAATTAATTTGGTCGGCTATCATGTCATGATTATCATGTAAATCATGAGATTTGTGGCTTATCCAATTCCGGCTAAGTCAGATATTTTTTTTGACAAAATTTGTACACGTATGTATTTGTAATTTGTTCCTTTCATGTTGAAAAAAAAAAATTTTTGCCCTGTTATATGCTGCGGCCAATTGCATCGTATAAAATATCTTTTTCCAATTCTTACAACCAAAATTTTTTCTGAAACTTTAATATTTTATTTATTTGTTTTTTTCTTAAAACCGAAAAAATTTCTTTAATTGGTTTTTATTAGCTAAAAGTTTTAATTTTTTTAAAAATATTTTATTTTCAGTAAAGTTGAATTTTTTTTATTATTACCTCTAAATATTAATCAAAATTTAATTGTTATATTAAGTTAAACTCATCAACTGTAGTGAACAGGTTATAGTTAGTAAATAACCAAGAATTTTTCCAAAACAATAATAAGCCAATTTTCACAAACAGTATAATAAGCCAATTTCTAAGCCAAATTTCCACAACAGTTTCAAAACAATAACAAGCCATAAGCCAATTTCCAGTTTAAAAGCAATAATAAGCCAATTTCTACAAACAGTTTCAAAACAATAATAAGCCAATTTCCACAAACAGTTTCAAACCAATAATAAGCCAATTTCCGCAAACAGTTAAAAACAATAATAAGCCAATTTCCACAAACAGTTTCAAAACAATAATAAGCCAAATAATAAGCTAATTTCTTTATTTGTCAAATCACACTTGTGGCTGGCACTATAAACATCAAATATCCTCCTATAGATTAGTGATGCAACTCTAAAATATTAATGATTTATTATTTAAATTTTAGTTTCTAAAAATTGATTAACTAAAACAATAGGATTAAAAATCCAATGATATCGTCTAATACTGAATTAGTATGTGTTTGCATTTCTATTTCTCTTCAGAGATAATTTCACAAACAGTAGAAATACTTGCAATTTCTTTTAATTTTAATATACTAATTCATTCTTATATTTGTCAAATAAATAAGAATGAATTTTGATATACTTAACATCAGGACTTGTACGTTTATCTCCAATCATCCATTTAGGTATGGAAAAATTTCGTTCACAACCTTACTTGTGAAGGGGTCATACCAAATAATCCTTATTTTTTAAAACTTATAGAACCCCACCAAAGTTCAAGTGTATCTATACCCATTTCAATTTTTGATCAAACCACCTAAATTGACTGAGAAGTTTTCTGCATTATTCTTCAGGATTTCAGGATAACCTAAGTTCTGCCAAAGAGTTGTAGCAGCAATTGCAGCATTTCTGAATCCATCATCATTAACACCTAAAGCTAAAAACAATAATTTTAATAAAATTTTTAAAATGATAATCAAACTTAAATATTTTACCTTTATAGTAAGGATGAAGACAATAACATAAAAAGGTAAGAAGAATGTTGAAATTCAAGATAATATAATTAAAAACTTGAATTGCTTCATACTTGTAAAGATTTGAAGTAGAAATATGGATTTAATCATTCGAACAAAACAATCAGCTAGAACAGCTGATTTTGCTTCAAGAATATTAATGCATTCTTTGATAAAAGCTCAAATTGAATTTGACGGCAATTTATCCTCATCCTGCATCAAAAAATGAACTTCAGAATTTAAAATAATATCATTATGTTCTAATAATATCTATTAATAATCAAGTTAGTTTTAATTGTTAGTGATTATATAAATAATAACATAATATCTATTAAAAAATCCTATCCAGGATGACGTAAAATGAATATATGATGAGCCCTATCTAGTTTTACACCATGTTTGTAATCCTTCAATCTTAATTTTCATATTTTTTAAACCTTGGAATAGAATTGCAGAAGCTTGATGTGAATTATTAAAAAATCTTGTAATTTTTCCACGATCTAAAATAAGATCTTTAATATTATCAAGTTTTACAAGATCGTCTGCCATTAAATTAATAGTATGAGCTATACATCTTAAATCCCAAATATGACTATACTTTTCCACTCCAATTTTTTCTATAATTGCAGAAATTTTTGAAGCAAAGAACTTTCCTGTATGTGATTCTGTAGAATACTTCCCTATAAAAATTAATTGTCCGTAAAATGTAATAGTAAATAATTGATAAATAACGGTTATATAGATGTCTAGTAATTTAACCATTTTATATATGTATTTTAAATGTTAAATATACGGAAATTTGAAATCTAAATGTAAATTATTTGTTTATTAAATGTACTATTCTCACTAATATGTATATAACCCATTCTATTAGTTATTCATCTGTATAATCTACATCCTTATATATCACGTAATAAGTAGTTTTAATCAGAAAAAACCCTACACAATGGTCTATAGCAAATGCATCAATAAATTCATGCGCTCCAGATTTTTGAAATGAGATAAGACCTGCACTATCTTCTCTAACATCTGCAGTCCAATGAATATACGTTAACATATAAGTTACTTTGTCAAATTCGTAAGCAAGATAATATTCAACCTGTTCATAAAAAAAATTAAATAAATTAAATTATTTTTTTAAAAAAAAAATAAAGTTTTGAAGTGTTGTTCAAGACGAAACTCACCTATCCAACGAACTAGAGCCAAAATCTACAAAATAGAAAAAAAATTTTATTATAAAGTTTCGAAGTGTTATTCAAAACGAAACTCACCTATCCAACGTCCAAGAACCAGAGCCGAAACCTACAAAATAGAAAAAAGAAATTAATAAATTAAATTATTTTTTTTAAAAAAAAAAATAAAGTTTCAAAGTGTTTTTCGAAACGAAACTCACCTATCCAACGCCCAAGAGCAGAAACCTACAAAATAAAAGAAGGAAAAAAAATTTTTTTAAATGAAAAAGTTTCAAAGCGAAACGAAACTTTAATAAAAAAAAGTTTATCACATATACACGTGATAATCTTTGCCAGCCTATAAAATATGTTCAACCAACTTCGGAAATGATATTCGTAAAGTCATGTGTCGAAATTTAACTTTGGCTGAAACTTAGCCAAAAGTCACATGACCAAAAATTTTTGATTTTGACTAGTGCAATAGAAATAAAGAATCTATCGAAAAGCAGCAAATTGAAAAACAAAACAAATTGCCAAATAAAATCTTCAAATTTGTATGTACCTTTTAAATGTGTAATAAATAATTGATTTATAGTGTTAATATTAGAAAATCGACACCGCAGCTAACATTTCGTAAATCATCTCGTAAAAAAGACAAATGTTGGAAAACGTCTAATTGAAGATAATAATTCAAGCAAACCTGTCAATAAATGACGATATAAAAGAAAATAAAAGTCATAAATTTTACAATAGGAATTTACTATACGTAAATTGACCTTATTATGTAATGATTGCATTTTGCATTATGTTTAAACACGTTATTTGAATGTATGTTAAGTTAGTTCTTGTTTATGTTTACAATACAACTTACGAATATTTAATTAAAATTATGTTCAAATTATAAACAAACAATGATTTTCAAATAATATATGGTCAAATAACATACATTTTATGGAAATTGTGTTTTCATAGGGCTTACTTAAAGTGACTAAATATTCAAAAAAAGTTGGTTTATTATTATTAATCATTTCATTTCCATTATGCATCGGTTTTGTTTTAAACCCAGATTTTTTAAAAAAAAATTTAAAAAATTTTCTTTTTTTCCTTCCTTCCGGTTCTTTTAAGGCCGTTTTATTTTAATCAGTTTTTTAAACCAGATTTTCAATTAATTTAATTTTTTTCTTGCAAATTTTAATAAAATTTTGTTCATCTCTTTCATAAGACACTAGCCACTCACTAGCCCCACCTTTGTTTTAGAAGAATGGCTCCCAATATAGTTTCGGAAATTTTGAAAAAATGTTAAAATGTTATTAATAGAGTTAAAAGGACATTTATCATTATAGGAAAATTTATATCTATGTTTATTGAACAATTTAGTTTTATTATAGATTAGAATAATTCGTATGATTAGATTTAGGATAGAACAATTTAATATTTCTAAAATAAAGTTTATAGTACATCAATTTTAAAATAAATAAACTATAACTTTACTGCAACTTTAATATTTGTTTACTATATTAAACTTAAACATGCATTTAATATAATTTAAATATACATTCACTATATGTTTTCGATTTCAATACTATTTTTGCACGAGCTCCCAGTAAATAGTTTTTATATAAATCTGTACCAAATGGGCTCATCTATATATAATTGGCTCTAGATTGGCTTAAATTTGGATTATTTTTTGCATAAATTTGAGCTAATTTCGAGCCAATGAGCCCGTTTGGTATAAATTTATACAAAAACAATTTACTGGGGCTGGTTAAATCCGGTGACGATTTCCTTAATATGCATCAACTTTATACATACGATCCGCGTCAAGATTTGTGGTATTAAATCTTTACATGATAAAGTTTTGATATTGTTACGATATAGTTTCGATTTTAAAAGTTTCTGCAAAATAGGCACTAATAGAGTAATGAAATAAAATCATGAGATATGGAGTACGTAAAATTAATGTAATTCCCGACCAGTGGTATTAGAGTAACAAAATAAGTAATTTCATGAATTTTCATTTTAAGTGTTTCCAAATTTAGAAATATATCGTATATTAAAGAGAAGGTACACAAAAACGCACTACTTTAATATTGGAGGACATTATTAATCTTACACAACCGATCTTTGAAAATGTAGAAAATGTGGATAATAATACTTTTGAAGAAATTAATATAGACAGAAATGTGGATTTTATTCCTATTGATTTAGTTAATCAAATTTTAGAAAACTAATTTGTTAATTGTTAATTTGTGATATTAAATTGAATAACCGAAACTCATACAGTAAATCATATGTCAAATTTGCCAAGTTTTAATTATTATATTTTAAGTTGCATGCGTCTTAAAATACGGCATACGTCATTATTTCAAATTTACTCTTGAGTTACGTGTCTGTCGTGTCATACGTCTATGACGTGACTTACCTTGAGGTTACGTCACGTCATTTAAGGTAGTCTTAGCATAAATTTTTTACATTTTCCTTTAATTAAATTTGTAACCCCGCAGTTATTCGATTTCTTATAATAAATTAATGTTAAGTTCAATAGGTTAAATATATTTACGTAAATTAAATAAATAAATCGGCAGAAATTATGATTAATAAAAATCAATCGATACGAATAGGCTTGTAGGCGCGTGTAATTAGTGAGCGTCAGATTTTTCGTAATTTCAAAATACCATCTATATGTTACGCACAGCTGCAAGTTACAGTATGATAAATTGTCAATTGCATAAATTTATAGACAATGTTTAAAAATTAAGTGATCTTCATCTAATATTTTACTCGGATTTATCCTTTCAAAATCCTAGCCGACTGTAGTATTGTATTTGTTGCTACAGGTGCAGTATTGATAAGTCCGTTAGTTCCGATTTACGTCTTATACTATACATGTTGCTGAAACTTTTTTTCAATTTCGGCCGCATTTCGGCTCCAAAATATAGCTACTTGTAGATATATCAATAAATTTTTTTAAACCTCAGATAATTTGGGCCAGATCTGCAGCAACTTTTAGCAGACTTCAGAAAATTTCGGCATAATTTGTAATAATTTCGAATCGGACTTTAAAGTTTTGGCCATATATTAAATATAGGTTGTCAGAAATTCCAGAGCCCTGCCAAAATTATGTAAGTAGGTCGAAATTCCTCAAAAGTTCTTTCATAGGTTCTTCAGACCCGGATTAACCTATTTGAAGCCTAATTTCAGCCAGATCTATGAAATCAGATGATTTTGCTTTGAAGAGTTTGTCATGTGGACGAAATAGCCAAAATATTTCGGCAACATGTATATCTTATACCAAAATCGGTGGTAACAATGTTATTTATTAATTTTGTAAAATTATTTTTTTTTCCTCGTTGCGAAATTGTAATTCTAAAAGAAAAATTTCCTTAGATATTATGATAGAATTATAGATACTAGCTAAATAAACCCTAGATCAAGCAAGCAAACAATGACGTCGGTAGAAGTGAATTTGATTGCCATCCGTACACAAATCAGTCCCGATTTGGTTTCGATTTGAAAAGTTTCTGCAAAGAAGTTAAGCATTTTTTTAAGTTTTGGTCGTTAAAAAAATTATTTAATAATAATATCATAAGCAAAAGTGTAAAAGCCTTTAATGATGTCTTGTAAAAAATAATGTAAAGAGTAAATACTTTAATTTTTTTCCACGATCTATCCATAATCTCTTCACGATCCCCGACGCGGTAATAATTAAACGTTTTATATAAAGGGAAAATGCATATCTCGCAGTTAAAATCTCGCATTCTGTAACAAAAAAAGAAATTCTTAATATACAAACTTTTTTAAAAAATGTCTAATATGTGTATTTTCCCCTGCTCTGCAAGTTTACTTAATTCTGGTCAGAATTAAATGATCGTCATACAGAATATCCTTTTTGGAATAAAGGCGAGATTTAAACATCACACAATCACACATGGGTGCGAGATCTAAATTTACCCTACGAGAAATTTATTCCTCACCCTCCAATCACGTGAAATTTAACGTTTATAATTTTTTTTTTAAAAAAAATTAGTAACGCGTTTATTAATTATGGTTATTTTAAAAAAAAATTACAGAAGACTATCTAAATACTACACTAAACTATTATGTAATTTAACTCTCGTTCCCCAATTATTTTTAATCGATCTATCCACTAGTTACATCACCTAATAAACTATCTCTTGTTACTAATTTAATTAATTTTCTGTATTTTTTTCATTTAAACTATTTTTATTTGTTTTTTCATTTTTTCTTTTCTTGATTTTTTATTACCGTCCCTATCATCATCATCATCTTTTCTTTTTTTCCTTTTTCTCTTATCCTTATTATCTATACCCTTATCTTTCTCTATTTCAGCCACTTCATCGTTCTTAACGTTTATAATTAGTACATGCGTCAATTGCGTCATCATATAAAACTATTTGTTTCGCTTTATTTTCTTTAGCAGCTGACGGCCAGAATTTTTTTTCTTTGGTATCAGGTATGTTTCTTTATTTTTTTTCTTCCTTATTTGTTTATTTAATATTACATTTCTAACTTCTTTCCTTTTTTCTTTCTTTTAAGTCTTTGGGCCTTTTGGTTTCGCGTTTAAAGGTATGTTTCCTCTTTTTTGTTTTCGTTCCTTACTTTTCATTTTTTAATTCCTTTTTCTTTTTTTTTCGGGTCTTTAGATTTTCGACTCTATGGTTAAAAATAAGTTTTTATTCTTTTTCTTTTTTTTCTTTGTTTTTTGTTCTTGCTTTTTATTTCTAATACTTTTTTTTCTTTCTTCAGTAGGTTCTTCTTCGGGTTTGCAGTCAAAGGTGTGTCTTTGCTTTCCTTTTTATTTTGTTTTTTATATTTTGTTTCATACTAAATACTAACTATATTCTATTCTTTATTTTATGGGTTTCTCATTTACGGGTTTTGTCCTTTCTTTGTTTTAAATTTTTGTGGGTTGCTTTTCGTTCTTCTTCCCCCTTTTTGCTCTTTTTCGTTTCTCCTTCCCTTTTTCTTGTTTTCTTTCGTCCCTTCTTTTCTTATTATCTTTCATTCCTTCTTCCCTTTTCCTTGTTCTTTTTTATCCTCCTCCTTATTATTTTTCGTTTCTTCTCTTTTTTATTACTCTTATTCGTTCCCCCTTCTCTTTTTCTTACTTTTTTCACCCTCTTTCTTTTCTCTTATCCTTTTTCGCTCCTCTTTTTTTTTATTATTCTTTTTCTTCCTTTTCTTGTTCTTTTTTATTTCCTTTTCCTTTTTTCGCTCTTTCTCATTTTCATCTATTTTTTTCATCATGTTTCGTTCCCTATTGTTTTTTCGTCCTTTATTATCTTTTTTTCACCTTATCTTTATCTCCCATCATTTTTCATCATCTTTTCATTTTGTTCATCACCTTTTCATCTTTATTATTTCGTTCATTACATTTCATCTCTTATGTTTTTTTCGTTACCTAGTTTGTTTGTTGTTAAAACAAAATGTATATTTCTTGACTCGGAAGTAAAACCTGCCTGTTAGGTGATCATGTTTTTCTGATATATTACTCGTATGTAGCGCTCTTGTCTTTGACTTGTTTTGTTATATATTTAGTAAATTAATAAACATCAATTATTTCTTTGCTATATAAAAAAAAATGTATATTTCTTGATTTTGATCGGTATTTCTTAAAATACTTATGAAAATAAAGTCTTTGTTGTTAATTTTCTAATCAAAAACATAAATAAATTCGTGTACTGTTAATTAGCCAATCAACATTTAGGAGTGAGGACTCACCCGGTGTGAGGAATAACTCTATCCTATATATATTTATAAAAAAAAATAACTTGATCTTTAAATTCATCATTTCATTCAAAATATCTTAAATTTGTTTGAGCTTTGATTAATTCTACTATTCCATAATTAGTTTATACGCATTTATTGATTTTAATTTTTTGTATACATTTACAGATTTTTCTTAATTCACAAAGGTAGAGATTAATTATGGTGTCACAGACTAATTCTGAGAGTAATTCTATTCGTGGATAAGCTTCTGAGAATCGATGATCAGTGTTTACCACGTCGAGTCGTCAAGATATTGTACTCTTGAACATTTACTTAACAAGAGTTGGTAAATTTCTTGTTCTAATAAAAGAAATTGATTATGAGGTAAATGAGATCCAATAAAAATTATTATTAATAGTCTTTACAGTGATACTTCTGCCATAAGATAAATAATCAAATACTGGAGGCAATTCAATTCTTGATTTGTTAAGAGTCGTTTCATGTCATTAGGTAAATACTAGGAAGCGATAACGTTGAATAAATAGATTTCTTTTTCCGACAATTTTATGATAAAGCCAAGGATTCCTCCATAAAATTGGAATTGCAGCTATGCACCAAAGTCTATTTACTATTGAACATGAATGTAGAATATTTAAATCATCTTAAATATCAACTTTATTAAGATTGGACATTTTTTTTTTTGATTTCTACCAACTGGAATAATGCCTTTAAATATAATTTTCGTCTAAAAACCCAATACATATGTCAAACACGGCTTGCCATACGTATGACAATCACATAACGATATTTTACGATAAAAACTAATAAAATATCATGTTTTCAAATATATTATGCATATATTATAAAAAATGGTGCTGTATAATTAATTCCTTATAAGAAAAAGATTCGATTCATAAACTTGTTTATGATACTTACGATTGCTGTATATATTTTAATTAATTTGAAATTTTAGTTTTTGCCTCAATTAATTTTTCCATTTTATTCACTATTCTGTTATCCATTTCATCCGTACAACATCTGAGTTAATAAACATGTCGGACATACCCGAGATGAATGTAGACATATAAATAACCCTTGACTTGTTCATGTAGGATCTGCAAATTTTATTTTAGTTGTTTATGTATCTAATATTCATATATTTTATTTTTTTATATTGATGTTAATTGTAATAATGATACAGTCGTGTATGCAGTTGAAAATACAGCGTCCATAAAAAAAAAAATCTTCCTTATTTTTATGGTTGGTCAATTATTTCAATCAGTAGTAATGTATAATGACGGTATATTGGCGCAGAAAAATTAACTATTGTATTTGACATATTTTCATAATTTTGATAATTTTGGCCAAAATCAGTAACATTAGATTTCCTTTTTCGTTTTAGAACAAGGTATATATGGTAAAGAAGTTCTATAGATTTGTTCCAGACTCCTAATAAAGAAATACAAATATAACAATAGAATAATCAGAAGAATAAGTTATGCAGCTTATTCATACGTACATTGAAATTACACAAAAGGAATAATAAATAGGAATTAAAAAAAGAAATTTTTATTTAATTATTATAAAATTATGTTGTTTATTATAAATTTTCTAAATCAAACCATTGAATAATTAATTTCAATGACATAAACACATGTGAAAAATATATTAAACATATTAAATAATTTTACAAAGAACTTATACAACTAAAAGCGTCAATAAGAACTTTCAAAATCTAGTTTAAGTAAGGGTTTACTTGATTCTAACAAGTTCAAAATGAAAATTTAATTAATAATTCTTTTGAAAAAATACATTTTCGGAAAACACAAATGCATATTGGCGCACCAGAATTGGTCATATGCCATCTTTTATTTATTATTTTTTTTAAAAAAAAAATCAAAATGCTCAATATTAGTCGATCGACTTACGTGTAATGGAGTTTTTCCTATTGCGCCCTATCTCTTTACGAAATAATTACAATTGATTGAAAAGTTAACCAATCCTTCATACTGTATTAATTACTCTCCAAAATCCGCTAGATAAATGCATTAACATATAAGCTATAACCGATTTTCAAAATTCTTTTAAATTTTGGCTGCGGAAGAAAATTGATGTCACGGGTAATGCAGATGATTACGTCAACTCAATAGTAAAAACGTAGAATTCCAAAATTTTATGGTAAATCCCTTTTTTTTTTAAAAAAAAAAAAAATCAACCCCATTTTTTGAAAAAAAAAAAATAAATAATTTATCTAAATTTAGTTTCTTTTAAAAAAAAATTTATCTAAACAGATGACCAATTCTGAAACGTCAACATGCATCGGAGTTTCCAGAAATGCAGCTTTTTTAAAAAACTTTATTAATTTAATGTCATTTCGAACCCTCTGGAATCAAGTAAAATGGATTATGAAAGCTTCTATGACGTCTTTTGTGTCGAGTAATTCATTGTAAAATTTTATAAGAATCATACTTGTTTCACATATGTTTACGCCATTTGAAATTATTTATTTAATTGTTTGATTTAAAAAATTTAAAATAAACAACATATTTTTATAATAAAGAAACAAAAATAGTTAATTTTAATCCTTATTTATTATTCCTTTTACAGAAGTTCATTACATGTATGAATTAACGCCTTTGATGATCCTATTGTTCTTTGCATTCTTTGTGTAATTCCTTTTAAAGGTTTGGAACAAATCTATAGAACGTCTTTACCATTCTTCGTTAAAAAACAAAAAAGGAAATCTGACGTTATCTGACTTTGGCCAAAATTATGAAAATTATCACGGGTTTTAGCTGAGGATCTGCAAATTTACTTTATCTGGATGATTGATCATCTAAAACTATCTAAAACTCTTTATACGTTAGCCATTCGCATCTACAGATCAAATTTCTATAATCAGAATCATATGAACACATTTTTTTTTCTCTAATGGTGATATGATTTATTTATTTTGGTTAATGTATACTTATAATATCAGACAATATAATAGTGATAACAGAAAATATATACGCTAGTATAAATGATAAATGATTGTAGTTGTATAATTTATATTATTATAAATAAAGAATTTAGTTAGCTTAAATTATAGCAATTATTATAAAAATATGTAATAATAAATTTAACTTAAATATACTCAATGGAATAACATTGTACATGACGTATACANATACTCAATGGAATAACATTGTACATGACGTATACACCGATGGATTTTATACTTTTTTATATTTTTTTATACCGGTGAAGTAATTTGCAAAAAAATCCATCGGTGTATACATAATACTGACGGGATAATAGTAAATAACTTACGTCCTATAATTTTTTAAATAAAGAATTATACTGTAACTTGCAAACTAACATAAATTACCGAATAATTATTAAATAATATAAATAATGACGGCAGAATATACTGTAAATAAATAACTTACGTTCTATATTATTAATAACGAATTTAGTTAGTTTAAATTATACTCTTGATTTATTGGTATTCCTTGATTTTACAGGAGTATATTAAATATGATCGTCTAATTGGAAGTTTTGTTAACAAAGAAATTCTTTCGGATTCTTCTACTGTAGATGAAAAACTGGCATCGGGAATTATCGGGTTTCACAAACTAATACATATACGGTAATAATATTCGGACAAAAGCATTTTTATGATTATGTTGGCAGAACCAATGCAACAATAACCAAATACGTGAAACAAAATCGGAGTATGCATTCTTTCAAAAAAAAAATATATATATAAATGCTAAATTTTGTGCTGGATCAAATCAACTTCTAGTAATAGCAAACCATTAATTTTTATACATATAAACTGCTTCTCTCTTAATCGCAATTTCACGATACTTTTCGTATCAATCTCTAATAAGAACTCCTTAGAGAACAATATATTCGTATTATTAGAAGATTTAGTTATTCTTTGATCAACCTATTGTAATTGATAAAAGTATAAACTTGACGTACTATTCAAAGATAACACATTTGATCTCGGATCCTTTACAACTTATTGAATCAAAATATAATACATCTTAGATATTTTAATAACCGGATCAATTTAATTTTCTAACACACCCCCCCCTCCCCCCCTCCAAATTTTAATTTAGATAGACACCAAAAAAAAGCAAAATTTTATCAATTTTTTAAATCCTCCCTCCTTCCTCTCAAAAATTTTGGTCCATATAGATATTAAAAAAAAAATTTTTATAATATTCCCCCATGGAAATCTAATTTTTAGATTTCTTTTTTATTACTTTTCCCTCCCCCCCGTCCCCTCATTTTTTAAAAAAATTTTGTAATTTATTTTTGTCCCTCCCTTCCCCCTCTTTTTAATAAAAATTCTTGTTAAATAGAAAATCCAATTGGCCTGGCCTTATTTTTAATTTTTAAATTCATCCGCGATCATAAATCTGCACGGTCTTACCAAAAATTCAGATTGTCCTGCAGATAATATAGTCATTATGGACTATGCATGTAGTGGAAATTTAAGAAGAAACAAGTAAAAAGAATTGGAGAAATTTATAGACAAGATATTTCCATCATAATGATGGAAATATTTTACTTCATAAAGATGTGGATGAAAAAATTTAAAGATACCCACAATGTTACGTCAATTTAATGAAAAGGTGTTGAGATGAAGATCCAAATGAAAGACCATCAACATCCGAAGTTTTGGAAGATTGGATTTATCTTTCTGATGAAAAGAAAATTGAAGATATTAATGAGGAAATAAAAGACCAAATTATGGAATTTGGCACGGTGGTATTATCACATTAAACGAAGAAGATATTCCAGAAATACTACGAGTGTTAGGTGCTGCTGATCAACTTCACCTCCAAGAACTAGTTGACTTTTTACAAAAATATTTAATTGAGAATAAATCTGAGTAAGAATATTACTACAGATTCTCATCCACAAGCGGAATGTCTAAATTGTATGATTGATGACACTAAGAAAATTAATTAATGACTAAAGTAATAATTCTATAGTTTTTCTTTATATCATTATACTGTATATATAATTGAATTAAAAAGCTTTAACATGATATCATTTTCCTATAAACATTTTCTAATTTTTACTCCAGAAAAACTCAGACATGTGATCAAATTTTTTTAAAAAAAAATTTTATAGAGTTTGACTGAACAATAAAAAATTAAATTAAACAAGATAATCTTAAATCAACCTAGTCAGATTTAAGGCTATCTTTAATATCTCAAATTACCAATTGCATATTTTTTATAAAATGTATAAAATGTTCGATTTTTTTCGTCCTACATAGGACATTGTTTCAAATTTCCATATGTACAAGTAGTTAGTGCATAACAAGAAGATAAAAATTCAAACTTGTAATTAAAATTATTATCATACAAATTTTATGCAATTTATTGTAGAGATAAGTATTCGATATATAAACTTGTTAATGTATGAGAACGTATTTTTGAAACATATGACCAGCTTCAAACGACAAATAATAAATGATTGTGGAAAATTGAAAAAAAAATATTAAAGAAATAATTTTTTTTTATTATTTAATAATTATATTTTGATATAATTATTATTAAACTTTCAGTTATACTTTATATTAACAGCAGCAGTAAGTAAACACATTTAATAAAATAATTTTTGTAAACTAAATACATATAATAAAAATTAATTTATTTATGATTTGGAGGCTGCACTTCAATTTTATTAATTTTATAGAGTTTCGCGCCAGTTAATTATAGAATAGATGACGCAAATTAAGGGAATTTCTATCCTGGTGATTTTTGGCGCTAATTTATTAGATCTTTTTTAAAAACTTTTGCACTAGTAAAAAACATAACTTGAGAATCAAACACTACGTTTAAGGCATCAGATGCGAAGATACAATATCATATTATTCAACTCACAATTAATTCAATTATTGCACTCAATCACAAATCACAATGTTCGATACCGAAACCAAAATACACTTCACGATTATATTATCGAGGCGCCGGCGAGTGATGTCATAACTTTCTTCATTAAAACAGAAATAATAACTTTGGACTTAAGTCACTTAACCACAGCGGTACACCCAATCTACTTCATTAATACTACATCAATTTCCCGCTTCATTAGCTAATTTCGTTCAAAGCTATGTCAAAAAATTTTCCTCTTAAAAAAGGTCAACTTAAATACAGTTCAAGCGATCCAAAAGGATATCTTCGAAGAAATATGGATGGCTCACAACCGATACCTTAAAGATTGGGAAACTCTCGATAATATCACTAAAAATCACAAGAAATCTTACGATACGTTTAGTGACGCAGCTAATATCGCACGTCGTCGTCAACATCACAATTCAAGATCCTTATACCCGAACGCGATCAAAGGCGGGGTCGACACATTTTACCCCGATGTGGATGGTTTGTCATCAATCCTTGGCTTATTAAAGTACAAATATTACTTCCAACTATTTACATTCGGGTGGATGGACTTCATTTATTAATACTTATGATTCAATAGAAAATTTTTTTTTATATTTTCTTTATTTTCTAGTTTTTTTAGTTTAGATTCTTTTATTTTTACTTTTAATATTTCTAATAAAACTGGTCATGCCTAGATACTAGTTCGAGGTATGTATTAGGCGGGACGGTCTCACGCGTGGGATTAAGTTTCAACTCTTTCAGTTGAATGAACAGTTTTATTACTTTATTTTAAAGTGATTGCTACATACTTGTTGTACTTCTGTTCTGTCGTTATGTTAAAAATAAAAATAAAAATAAAAAAAAGTAATGGTCGTTTCACAAGAAGCTTAAATATCATTGATTATCACGATCCGTACGAAATCAAAATCAAAGTTGGTATAAAAAATGTTTTTATTAAAATATGTAATTTCTAATAATTAGTATCAATTAAAATTATTAAAATTTCGATTAAAAAAAAAAAAGAGGTTATAAAGTAAAATCGAAAGTATACAACACTCTCACTATATGATCTCTATAATTCTAAATAAAAATTTTCGTACTAATAAAATTCCGAACCATAAATAGTTACTGTATATTCACCACACTACCACTACCACATAAAATGTTTAACAAAGTTTCAAATTTTGTATAAACTTGAAATAAAGAACCTTTGGCCTTATTTTTATTAAATTACGGCAAGTTTTGTTATTTCAAATTAACGGATTTTTTTTCTTTAGGCGAAAATTGAAACTTTTGGAATCTCGGGGTATGGGATTACGGGGCTACCATCATCAGTCATATCGACATTGAGCCAACCAATCCAACCATATTGAGAAATATTTCCAATTCCATTATTTTAGTTCGGTCAAGGGCTAGCTTCGTCAGGTAGGACAAAAAAATCAACCGTTTCGAAAATTTATTAGGACGAATATATTCATTTAGAATTATATGATTATAGAATGAAAATATCGTCTCCTGTTCAATGTTTAATTTGAAATACGAAGGATATGGAGGGAAAGTGATTTTTTTTAATTGTTTTACATGATTTTTTTTATTTTTATTTTTATTTTTAATTTTTTATGGGCCTTTTTACTAGCTATTTTATATTATATTGATATTAGTTGCCTGTCCTGTATGCCATATTTAGGAAGTTATTTAATGATGGAATTTTAAAATTAATATGTTAGTTGCGAGACAAATAAACTTTAATGAACTACAATCACCACCATTTTTATTATCTGAAACTTATTTATATGCTATATATGTCAAACAAATAAGAATGATAATAATTTAACCGGTTACTCGGAATTATGAACTTACAAATCTTTAACTGATATATAGTAAAGATCAAAGAAGTTTTGTTAAACTGAATTAGAAACAATGGACAGAATATGTTATACGTGCCGATTGACCTTAGTCACGTGCTTATTACTACTCAGTATATAGGATACGGAAATCATCATCTCATCCATGGCTCATTCATGGTGTCTCATTAAAATACAGTCTTAAATTTGTTAATAACAACGATCAATCGTATATTCTTCGTAAATCTACAGTACTTACTCTCACAACAAATAGTGATAATGCTAGTAATTCATTTCGGAGATTCACTATTTCGCATCATTATCGAAATTTAAATGAGAAATTTCTATTTACATGCGGTAAAACCTACTTTCCTAAGCGATATTTGTATGCAATTTCCATAAATATACATTCGGAACATTCAATTGATTTACCTCATTAATGATCAAATTAAATTTTAGCAATTTTTTCAAATGATGTAATTTGATTTGTAGTTCGTGTAACAATCTTACAGACTTATACCAATTAAATTTGCATTTGAAAGAAATATTTTGTTTAATAAACAATCATTAATTTATTAAACTTAATATCGTGAGATAGTACAAATATCTCATTCAAATAGATGTAAGATTGGACAATCAATAGCGATATCATTGATTACTATGCATATCCATACTATAGAAGTATGGTCCAAAAATTTGAAATAAACTCGTTTACTCCTGGTTTCAGAGATTCCCGATCCTGTAATCCATTTTTGGGATAATTAAAGTTTATCGCACCCCCACTTAGGCGCCGATCAAGGTTATAACCTCATTATTTATGTCACAAGTGTATATGTTATAACCTTTGAGTGGGGGTGGTTAAAAACAACAGATTTGCTTACATTATAAATCAAGAATTCAAAAAAAAAAAAAAATCCAATCAAAAACGGTTCTAAATAAAAAATTTTAGTACTATATATCGACGAAATTATCAAACTTGCTGTTTGATAACGCATTTAATTGGAGTAAGAAAATATGTTACAACTGAAATTCGAGGGTAAAACCGAATTTTTTCATTATTCAAAGTCAAATTTATACTACTGTTTGATAGCAAGGGGTTCTAATAGTACTTTTAATGAGCTTCACGAAAAATTCCTGAAAAAGACCTCAATCGAGAAAAAAAGAACTTCAATACTCCAATCGATGACGGAAACGATAATCGAATCTAATTAACTTATCTCGAAAGATAAAATGCCAAACTAATAATCTAACACCGTTGAAATATAAGAAAAGTTCATCAATTATCATGCTTGTTAAATTTTGAAACTATTAACAATTTATAAATATGATTATTAAATCTTATAATGAATCTTGCGCTAGAAGAAAATACAGAATTTTTTTTTTAGTAAACCGTACGTATAATTTTTTACTTTTATATCTTTATAATAATTTTACTGAAATTTAAAATAATTCTTTATATTTCGTATAGGAAATTGATTCGCTAGAAACATCATTGCTCAGATCGACTTTTAACCGGTAAAATTTGATTAAGCGTACGATCAGTTGTACCTGCGCAGCTGGAGAAGAGCACGTTTTAAATTTCCGCGCATGCGATTGAATAGCGACGCTTACTAAAATATAATTATTAAATGATTATATTTTATGTTTACATTTCTCCTAATCTCATTTATTAAAAAGTAACAAGATTATACCTTGTGTTTCCACTTTACCTTACGGTAAAACCTCGTCCTCAAAACTAATTTTATAATCCTTATCTCAAGGTAAATTATTTAAAAATTATTTTTATGTTCTTTATTATAAAATTCTTTAGTATTTCTAAAACATTACTGATAATTTATACTAGTGGTGACAACTAACGAAATACGAACAAATTTACGAATAATAAAGGATCACCCTATAAAAATTTCAGAAAAATGATCACGTGTCTGAGTTTCTTCGGAATAAAACCGGAGTTTTTTCCAGAAATTTTTTTATTAGGGTCAATCTGTCGGGAAACGGTCCGTAAGCGATATGTAGTTGGAGATTATTAATTATTTATTAAATATTAACAGCGCATCGTTTCAGATCGCGAAAAAAAAAATTTCAACGATAACTTTTTATTTTAATTAAAATACTATTCTATATTTTAGCATTTCCAATCATTTTAAATAAATGATTTAAGTAAAAACAGAGTATGCATCGGAAAATCTATTATCCCTGATAATTCCGATAAACCACTCCCATTCAGGTGATCATCAAAGACTATAACCTTACTATTTATGTCACAAGTGTATATGTTATAACCTTATATGGAGCAGCTAGCTCACTCGGATCCTGTTTTTAACTGCCTGTATTCCAAATTTAGGAGGATAATTTTTAATTGGAGGAAAAACAAATAATCCGGCGGATGCATATGATAAGATATCTTTGTGTTCTCGCTAATAATGATTTAAAAAAATCTAAATTTAAATGCACTTGTCTCCTGAATTAAATACTTTAATAAACGAAACAAGAGGAGAAAATAAAGCATTATATTTTAAAAAAAATTATTTTTCTTTTATGATAATTTTCTAATATGACTGACGATCGAAATTTTTTTTTTTTTTTTTTTGAAGTAAATATAATATGACTGACGATCGTATGTTCAGCAATATATGAAAATTTGACAATCAAACTGATGACTTATTTAGTCAATTTTGCTATTATAACAATTACGCGTAATTAATTGTGTCGGATCGGGGATATGTATTTTTAAACTGAAACATATTGCAATTTTAGTGATAAGTTTGTAACCTATTAAATTCTTTGAGGCATAGTTTTAAAATCAGATTCCATTCCAATAATAAATATCGCAAAATTAAATAAGTTAATAAAAAACTTTTATCAACACACACTCCAACTGAAATACAGTGAAATTCGATATAACGGAACCATCCGTTCCAGTAAAATTATCCGGTATATCGAGACTTCCGATATACCAAAAAATTTCGATATACCGGATTTTATATATAAATCATATGAAATTCCGTTATATCAAGTTTTTATTTGTGCGACATGTGCTACGAACATTGAAATTTAGATTATTTTTTATTTAAAAAATTATTTGAGAAATTTTATACACTGAAATTAACTAAAACTTAAAAAAAAACAACTATCCTCTGTTTTTGCTTTTCTTACTTCACTATTAGACATATTTTCAATAAAAAAATTCGTGATTAAAGTGTAAAAAAAAGATTTCGTGTATGATCTGATTTATTTTTAGGTGTTTCACATATATTAATATTTCCAAATAAACAATTTTTATTTAGGAGATTCTATTTATATTACATCCTTATAAAGTGATAAAGATCTTTAATATTTTCAACATTCCTAGTCAATATATTCAGAAAAATTTCATCCGAGTCTTCAAAGCTTGCGTATTTCACTAAAATTTTTAAAAGGTCATCACACTTGCTGCTAATTTTATTGGTTTAAAACCGTGAATCATCACGTGTTCCGGTAAATCGAATCATTTTTAATATAACTGATTCGTTATTTGTTCCGTTATAGCCATTATCGAGATTTTACTAATAAATTCCGTTATATCAAATTTATTTTAATATATGTAATTTTGTTCCAGAAAAAAGTTCCGGTATAAGGCCAGTTCCGACAAATTATAGCAATATTTTTAGAATTAGATCAGCGATCATTTAATCTTTTTCCCCAATCAAAACATACAAAGAAAAAAATTATAATTATTGCTTTTTAAGAATAAATTAAGAAAAGAATTTTACCAATATGGATTATCATTCAGAAGCACGCAGTGAGAATTGTCGTTATTAGACAACAATGATAAAGGGAAAACTTAAAAGTATTTTAAAATTTTATCAAATAAAATAAAAAAGATTTAGGGTAAAGAAATAATAATTTTGGGGTTAAAAATAATGCTGGCTTATTAATAATATTTTTTTTTTTTGATTACAATATGTTTAAGCTTATATTTTACTCAAAAGATAATAATAATACGAAAATTTAATAATATGTATTATTCAAAAAAAGGACATGAATAAAATTACCAAATTTCATGCATTTTTCACAGTATCTGGACTTTTCACCGAAGTATGTTGATCACTAATATTTTCAGCGAAATGTCCTTCGACAAAATGAACGATTCGGGGAAAAGGATTCGGCGAAATGTCTATTCGACAAAACGCCCATTTGACGATATATCCCTTCGGCGGGATCTCGGCGAAATGGGTTTCAGCGAAATAGACTTCGGCGAAACGTACCGTAACTTTTTTCACATTTACTTGTTAAATAAATGTATTAGGATTCCATCAGTACATTAAAATAATTAACGTATTTTTGCTAGAGTTTGTTGATATCTATCGGAAGCGTTGATGTATAATCCTTAAATTCTTTCCTCCTTTTTTTTAGAGTCATGTGGCAACGTCTTAATTTTGATATATCGCAGATATATTATTAAATTTTATTTAGTTTTTACTACATTGAATTTAAATTTTTTAAATCACTGATATATTAACTAATTAATGCATAATTTTAATAATGTGCCATCTAGAAGTGGGAATAATATTGCTAATAATTTATTAATCAAAGTATTTGACTTTATAGTGGCGAACAAAGGCAGTTCGAACCAATTTAGTTAATTTTGTCATATTAGTATTTGTTGTAAAAAGTTCTTATCTATTGCAGAAATCCATCATGCCAAAACAACAATTGTCACATCATCATGATCGTGCCTTCCCTGTATACAGAATAATTATTATAAAAAACGCTTGTTTATAATAACTTTATACTGATGTATTGACATAAATATTAGACAAATTCACAATTTATACTTTAAAAACGCATTTTTATTTACTATTGTTTAATTATATTAATAATATTCCCTATAAGAAATATGTATACGGAAAGGATACGTTTTGTATACATTTTATGTACGTTTCTATAGTTTCCGTATACAAATTCCGTATATTTAATAAGCAATTCATTTTTGAACATTTTTTAAAAAAACTAATGTATACGAAATGTATACGGAAAAAATTAATCATACGGAATGTATACGGAATTTTTAAACTTAATATTTTTTAGTTACGTATCATAACACGAGATCACGTGATTGTTTATTGTTTTGTTTATGATACGTTTTTTGTTTTTTATATAAACCCTTACTTTGATGAGTTTGATCTTCCGATCTTCCTTTCTGTCTTGTCTTATTTTTGTTATTTTTTCTAAATTTTTCTTCTTTTGTCACCCCCCTTTTAAAAAAAAATTTTTTTTTTCGTCACTCCCTTAAAAAAAAAAAATTTTTTTTTGATTTTATTCTTTTATTCCCACTATTCCCACACTTCTTTTTTTTAAAAAAAAATTTCTTCTTTCTATTTCTATTTCCTCTTTATAAAAATTTTTTATTTTTCTAACTTTGACGTCCTCCCTTTAAAAAAAAAATTTTTTTTTTAACTTTCCTAACTTCGTTACCCTCTTTTTAAAAAAATATTTGTTTTTGATTTATTCTTTATTCCCCTTTCTTTTTTATTTATATATATCCCTTTTTTTATTTCATAGGCCAGCAGATTTTTTTTTTGTGAGAAGATTCAGTTTCTTTTTTCTTTTTTGTAGATCAGTTTGGGAGTCCTTCCTTTTGTAGGATTGTTTAGGATTTTTTTCTTTTTTTAAGTCAGTTCAAATTTTCTTTTTTTTTTTTTGTAAGTTGGGTTCAGATTCTTTTCTTTTTGTAGGTTGTTTCAGTTTTGTTGCTTCAGAGTCTTCTTTTTTTGTAGGTCAGTTTTGGATTTATTTTGTTGTTTTGGTTTCTTTTTCATCAGATGCTTCATAATTCTTTCATTTATGTAGGTCAGACATTCTGGAGTTCTCTTTCTTTTTTTGTAGGAATGCTGACCTTTGGTGACTTGGACGATTGCAGATACTATATGAAGGGGGTTTTGTTTCCAATTAAGTTAGACGTTCTTATGTTTCTTTTTTTTGTTTTTTTTTTAGGTTGTTTGACTCCAAATGAACCTGAACTTATAGATAATTTTGGTTGCAATAGGTGGTTTTAATAAGGAGGGAATTTTCATAATGTATTTGTATTTTGTTTATTTTTTATTTTTTATTTAATTTAATAAAGTAAAATTAGATTTATGTAAATATATTATAGTAAACTGTAATACAAATAGTAAATTCAGTGACCAAATCGTATAAATTTCGTGATAAAATCAGTGTGAATTCCGTGCAAATTCCGTATCCAAACCATATTTTAGTGATACAGAATTGTGCATTTTTCCGTATCCTATTATGATACGTTATTTCTAAGGAAAAAAAATCGTATAAAAACTTTATAAAAAACGTATCCCGATTTTTTTATAGGGATTATATTTATATTGCCATATATTTATCTTATTAAATTTATTATATTTTTTAAAAACCTTATTTTTTTTACATATCATAATTAACATATATATGTTTCCATAATAATATTAATAATTTTAAGAATTTTGTAGTCCATAAATTATAGTCTACGAAATTCAATTGTGAAAGAGATTTTTTTTCACAATATCATTAAAATGTTGTATCTGCAACGTTAAAATACTTTCGCAAATACTGGTTATCTTGTATGTTTATCTTGGATAAACACGTTTAATTTTGGCGTATAATGATTGACCCGTGTTTGGGAGGATACAGAGAAATGAGATGTGGTTGGGCTTGCTTAACACTATTACCAGCCTTCAACCTAATGATTCCTCTATATTATTTGCTTGAGGATTTGCATGTAAAATTGGGAGATTTCTATTTGGAATATTTTATGATTATAATAATATTAATTAGAAACTTGAATGATTCATAAAAAAAAAAATGTGTTTATATGGTTTAACTTACCATTTAATGTATTTACTAGTTCTCTTAATAAGAATGCATTAATAGGTAAAACATTAGGGCTTAAAAAAGCCATAACAGAGAGTAGCGCTAGTTGCTACCTTAAATTCTATGATCCATTTGTTGGTTTGAACACTTGACGGGGCGGTAATGACATCCGCCTGTAAAATTAAGTTCGCGTTATTAAAGATAAAATTATAATCAAAGAATAAATTATTCCTATGTCGCAATGAACCTACCACGGCCATTTCTTTTGATACTTTAAATAATTATTTTGATAACTCTTGGGTTTTATTTGCACAGGTGGACGGATACTGTCAAGAAAATGACATCACACCATCCGTTTGCTTCGTATTTAATTTTTTAATATATCTTTGTCCTTGGCTCCCTGTTATATAAAATAATTTTATTTTTTTTTAGAAAATAAATTCTTATAATCATATGATATTGCGAGATTAATCACATAATTTACCGTAGATATTTTGCAGATCTCGGAAGGGAGATAGATGTTCTTCCATACGATCGATGACGTAAGGAAAAATTGGGTAATATAATTATTGCCTATTGTAAGCGTTGAAGAAATATGTTACTACAGTAATGTTATTAATTAAGAAAAAAAAAAAAATTACCCTCTTTCTCAAATGTAGTATTGTTTTTCATTTTGGGATCTCTTGTTTTTAGATTTCTTATAACTCTTTCTACAAAGATCATCTGGAGATCTAACGTCTAAAAGTTTGAATAAGTGAACCACCTTCATAAATAGTAGTAGCACTTAAAATCTATGTTAATCCCATTCTTCCTCTCGTGAGACGCGCAGATTGATAATACCCTTGCACGACTTCAGCACCTCCAGTGATAGGATTGATAGGATGAGCTCCCTGCGGGATGTAAAACACTAACATATACTGTATGACCAATGACAACGCCTAGCGCCATATTTACTTATTACATAAATGATTATAATCCATTATGAGATTCATTTTATTAAAAAGACAGAAAGGAAAATAATAAAAAAAACTTACTCGTTCGGCAATTGTTGGTCATGTGGCTTCTTGCTTGTAAAAAACTGAATTAATTTCTGCCATCGCGATATGCCCAACTCTTTTGATTTTAATCGTAAATCCTTGTATTCATCACGACTATGCATTCTAGTTGCACCAAATTTATTGAATATAATTAATAAACTTTTTTATAATTTCAAAAGCCAAGAAAAATAAAAAAAAATTAAAGATATTTACTGAGTAGCGATATCTCCGACATATTTTTTCTTCCTACAAACCATTTGCTAAAAGTTAGTATCTATTTCCATTCTTTTAATTACAAGTATATATTTAGATACAGTTTTGGCACATTTTTAACGAAAAATAATTTTTCTTTTACGTACCATCGAATACTGGTCTCGCGCCACCAAGGCAGTACCATTCTTCCACTATTGTTTAAACACCAATTTCTCGCCGCATTAAATAAAACCAAATAGACTAAAAGAAAACCAAAATTTCCTCATGGCTCTATTTCCAGAGGAGAATTGATTCTTTTTATAGGCATTTGAGTATTTGAGTCACAAAACAGTTAAATATTTTCATATTTAATCGCGGATTATGGATAAGAATATAATAATAAAATAACCGTATTTCACTGTTATTAAGCACTCTTTTCGGGAGTGCTTAATAACAGTTAAAATAGGTATTTTATAAAATTTTATTTAGGAGTGTAAAAAGGAATTTTTATTTCTTTTTTTTTTTCCTGGTAGCTTAGCTCTTGGACAAAAATGAACGATTTTTATAATAATTTGGATATATTCATGAGTGATTGATTGTCATACATGAAAGTTGTTTCGACAATTCGACTTGTATAATTAAAATAAATTACACATAAATATATATTTCAGAATAAGTTGGATTATATTTTTTTTTTTTTTGCGTATGAAATAAATTAACGGCTAATTCCTAATTGAGCTTAGATTAAATGCATTCGTAAGCCTCATGAAAAAAAACATTGTAATTGTCTTCCAATTTGGTAGAAAGCAGTATACAAAAATAGATAATATTATTAACACTTATATGAATTTGGTAACTATAAATAAAATAATTTATCTATTTTAATATAATCTACCGTATTACATGGTACATAAGTGATATTATAACTAACCAAAATCGATCCAGATTTCGGATAACATATAATTTATTGAAAATTCTTGACTCCTTACTTTCCATATATGCATTGAACCATATGATCAAATCATTTGATGATGATTGATCTACACAAAAGAATTTCCGGTTCTGGTTACTGATTTTTTTTTGAAGGGTTTTTTTTTATTTTAAATCATTTAGATGTATGAATTAAAAAGTATATTTTACAATCGGACTTAAACACGCTTTTAATCTTTTATTTTGTGCAAACTTGTTTAAAAAACTTTAAATGAGATTAATGAAAGACGCCAACGAAATAAAAAAGATTAAGAAATCGCTTATATAATATTAAATTAATTATTGGCGTAAAAAAACTATGCCAATTAAGAAATGCCCCATTCTTCATGGGTTTTCTGTTTTTAAATATAATATCACATACACTGTAAATACTTGAATTATTTTTAATTTATTAAATATATTATATTAAAATAATTTACTGTAAACGTATTTTACTATAGTATCATTATCATTATATAATACGGCATTTTTTTTTATAATTTTATTATCTCCCTCTTAAATATATATTTATTTGTATTATTCAAACAGAAAATGCCTCAAAAAAGATAAAAACAGCTAAAAGACAAAGAATCAAGAGAAGGATATATGGAAGACATTCTATTCAAATGCCACCAATAATAGATACACATTGAGCCGCATAATTTATGAATATCTTGTATTACTATATGCTATTCATCGTAAATCACCTTATCCTTTGTTGTGGTTATTGTAAAAAAATTTTCTAATAGATAACCAACTTTTATAGTAACGTCATAAAAATAATTATTATCTATGTTACAATAGGTTCCATGTGAAATTTTTTTTTATGTTTTCCTTCTCCTGCTGCAGGAGAAAATGTTTCATAATATATTGTAAAACACATATATATGTTGGCGCAGGTGACGCAGCTAACCTTTTTACATTCTCTATTTTATGCATATTTGTCATGCATATATTGCATATCGTTGTTATGATCGATACTGTATATTCCAAATTCCTGCCTTTTTATTATGCTGATAACGTATGTTAATATTGTTAATAATATTTAAAAGTTGTCTAAAAATGATAAACATTTGAAGAATTTATTTTTTGAAGATATTAGAATAGTTAAAAAATACTTCAAATTTAAAAAGAACGAAATTTTCAAGATAAAGGGCAAAATAATGTCAAAAGAAAAAAGAAAAAAAGATTCTTATATTCGACTAAACCTAAAGTGAATTTTTTTTTAAAATTATCAATATGACGTACTGAAAAGTCGGAGTTTGGACATATACATCCGCTAGTTTACAATCTTATTCGTTAAAGGAATACCAATTTGAAGAAGTTTCGGAATCTCCACGATTCTATGCAGAATGTTGAAATTGAATTATTTACATTTTTTATTAATACAATAAAATTCGTTTATAGAAAATTAAAAATAAATTATCCTAATTCTTGAAATAATAACATAATCTATTATTGATAAAAAATGGTCTAACTTAAAAAAGTACCTCCGGTGGGAAAAAAAAATTTTTTTTTTTTATTCCCACTTTTATAAAATCTTTTCATCCATTCAAATCAAGAATCAGGTTTTATTACAAGTTATTCGGCATATTTTTTTATTAGTTATATAAGTATAGATATTCTATCATAGTATCACAACACTATCACAACGTTTCTTATTTGTATAATTCTATTATAGTAAGATACTGATCTTTCATATACAGAAAAAATCTTAAATATCTTTTTATCATCTATTATCGATTTCAGGTAGGGTATAATATTTTAATAATTATTAATTAGGTGACAAATACAAAGTAAAGGCAGAACAATGAATCACGTCAGCATGAGCCGCCTTCACGTGATCTCAATTTATGGGTGATCATTATCAATGAATTACTTAGAATGCAAATCAAAAATTTTTATTTAATTACTTTGTTTTACATTTTAGTAATTTTGGATCGGAGAACAATAAAAACTTGATCTATTTCTAATGAACTTATTTTATCCTAAACTCTCTTCTCTACCCGAATTTTCTCCTTCTGCGATCCTTCAACCTCATACTATAAAATAAATTAAATAATAATGTATTTATTTGTATCATTTATCAGCGCTCTTTCGCGTACATTATTTGAAATTTTTATGCATAAAAAGCATAATCTATTTTTCTAATGGGTTAAG